GTGAAGTATGTACGGGGCCTGTCATAATCAAAGCTCGCATTTCTCAATGTGCACCTTCTTCCCTTGGCTTTAACTCATCGTTGATAGGCTGATAGCTCCCAGTGTTGAAGTGCCTGCAACCCTCCGTAAACATTTTGGATGCACTGTGATAACATAACTATCACGTACTATCTACTAAACAAAACTTCAATGCAAGGTGATATGACTGCAATCAGCAACCGTCTAATACTCCACTACAGCTGCAATGTCCTTTACTCAAAATACACCAATACGCGAAAAATCTCTAAGGCAAAGAATAGAAGCAGTTGTGCAGCATGAGTTTTACAAGCACGAGTGCTCACTGGTGTGGAGCTTTGCGTACCAAAAGCATGAGCAACGCGAAGAAAGAGAACAGGCATGTCAACACATTTTCAGTATATGATGTCGGATCATAAGCTTGATTTTGATAGCTTTTCTTGCTGATTTGGTGCCGAATGCAGTGCGAACTACCTCACGAAAAAGCATCAAATAATCCACACCTATTTTTTTACTGTCGCAAGCAGTCGGAGCAATGCGACTTTCCCAAAGATCATCACGATTTCAAAATGATGCATTATCGAGTTTTGCGGAAAAAAGCAGACGAAGCTCAGCAGTTGACCCTGCAACAAACTCGAATGATTCGAATTCGAGTTTCGAATTTTATTTGAAACCCCGTTTTCTCAATTATTCGAGTTTCGGATATTATTCCAAAATGGAAAAACTCCGAATACACATACACACTGCCGCTTGGCCAGTATACTTGGGTCCGAATCGAATAGAAATTCGATCATTCGAATAAAACATTCGAATATATTCGTATTCGAAATTCGATATTCGGAGTTTTTCCATTTTCGAATAATATCCGAAACCCGAATAATTGAGAAAACGGGATTTCAAATAAAATTCGAAACGCGAATAATCAAAAAACAGGATTGCGAATAAAATTCGAAAACTCGAATAGTCAAAAAAAGAGGATTCGAATAAAATTCGAAAACTTGAATAATCAAAAAACGAGTTTTCGAATAAATTTTATTCAAATGTTTTATTCGAATGGTTATTCGAATTCGTATTCGAATGAACTCGGTACTCAGATCATTCGAGTTTGTTGCAGGGTCAACTGCTGAGCTTCGTCTGCTTTTTCCGCAAAACTCGATAATGCCTCTTTTTGAAATCGTGATGATCTTTGGGAAAGTCGCATTGCTCCGTCTGCTTGCGACAGTAAAAAAATAGGTGTGGATTAATTGATGCTTTTCGTGAGGTGGTTCGCACTGCATTCGGCACCAAATCAGCAAAAAAGCTACCAAAATCAAGCTTATGATCCGACACCATATACTGAAAATGTGTTGACATGCCTGTTTTCTTTCTTCGCGTTGCTCATGCTTTTGGTACGCAAAGCTCCACACTAGTGAGCACACGTGCTTGTAAAACTCATGCTGCACAACTGCTTCTATTCTTTGCCTTAGAGATTTTTCGCGTATTGGTGTATTTTGAGTAAAGGACATTGCAGCTGTAGTGGAGTATTAGACGGTTGCTGATTGCAGTTATATCACCTTGCATTGAAGTTTTGTTCAGTAGATAGTACGTGATAGTTATGTTATCACAGTGCATCCAAAATGTTTACGGAGGGTTGCAGGCACTTCAACACTGGGAGCTATCAGCCTATCAACGATGGTAAAAGCTAAAGCCAGGGGAAGAAGGTGCACATTGAGATACGCGAGCTTTGATTATGACAGGTCCCGTACATACTTCACGCGAAAGTCGTACGCGATTTCCCACTACAAGATGTTAGCTACGAGTACTTGGTACAGGGGTAAGGAAGAGTGCTAATTATTTATAAAATTAATTTCATTGATTTTATCGACATTTTGGAAAATTTCGAGCTACGAGGTTGGGGGTTGGTATAGGGGGTAATTTTATCGATTTTTGGAGATTCTTGAGCTACGAGGTTGGGAGTTGGACAGTCGGTAAATGAGGGTGATTAAAAATAAATATTCCATACATTTCACCGATTTTTGGAAAATCTTGAACTAGGAGGCTGGAAGTTGGTAGTACAGGAGAGAGGGGGGAGCGGGGGGGGGGGGAGGGGGGGGGGGGGTAAATAAAGGTGCTGATTAAAAGATCTATCTTACCGATTTGACCTATTTTTTGGGAAATCTTAAGCTAAGGGTTGGTATAAGGGAATTGAGGGCGCTCATTATGAATGGATCAGCTTTACCCGAATATGTCAACAAATTTTAGATCTGGTTGCTCTAGTTATTCGATAAACCATTCGAATATTAATTCGAAATTCGACTCTCACTCAATGTTCGAATGTAATCGATATTCATTCATTCGATAATTTTGATTTTCCGATTTTATTCGGGTTTTATTCATTCGCGAATTTTTGAATCTCGAATTTATTTGATATTCGTTTATTCGAGATTTTTTATTTTCGAGTTTATTCGATATTCGTTTATTCGAAATTTTCCATTTTCGAATTTATTCGATATTCATTCATTCGATGAAAAATTACGAATTTATTCAAGTATATTGGCCAGTGTTCTATTTGGGCCCGGCCCCCAAAATCAGTTTTCAGGTGCAATCGCCATGTGTCCAGATTTGCCTGTACGCTGCCTAAGAGCCGCAGGCATTAACAATCCCGCCGGGGAGGGGATCGCAGCTTATGAGAAAGCTTCACATCCTGAAGCTTCAAATATCTGGAATTTACGCTGTCTACCTATCCACGAGTATTCCCACCATCCTTCACTATGAGGATATCAAATAGTGAGAAGCAGTACAAGCCGCATATTCAGGCTTTTTGAATGATTCCTGATGTTCCCCAGCGGCCGATCGTCTTCTAAATGATGTTTTGGAATCATGGAATTTGCGATAAATCAGAAGTCGAAAGTTGTGGTTTATATCAAAAATCTTAAAAAAAAACTTACTCCTCCTTATCAGCAACATGCTTAGCATTGTTGGGTTACACGAGCAGTACAACTTTGGAAGGTTTTCGTTAACTTCGAGGAAAGAAAAATGATTTCGAACAGATGAAGGTCGGCCACCGAGGATCATCAGTGGATCATACAAAAAGCTGGAAATGCGGCTTTTACGGCTTCTTGTGCCTGTTTGTCATGTTCATAAGAAGGATGGTGAAAATACCTACGGATAGCTTATATGGCTTGGAATTCACCTTGGAACTTGGAATATCTAGAGCTTCAGGATATGAACCTTTCTTCTAAGTTGCGACCCTCTCCCCGGCTGAGACGTTAATGCATGCGGCCCTAAGGCAGGCGCTATACTCCTCGAGGAGTATAGCATGGCGACGATCGATATGCATCAAATACGTGTAAAACCGGCGATTTTTGCCGCCGATATTGGCGATCGCCAGTCGTAGCGACTGGCGATCGCCTGTCGTAGCGACTGGCGATCGCCCGTCGTAACGACTGGCGATCGCCAATATCGGCGACTACACGTTTGATATGTATCGATTTGACGTGTGGTAACTTGTTTGGCGATTGGCGATCGCCCGTCGCCGAACAAGTTACCACATGTCAAATCGATACGCATCAAACATGTAGTCGCCGACATTGGCGATCGCCAGTCGTTACGACGGGCGATCGCCAGTCGCCAGTGTTGGCGACTACACATTAAATGTGTATCGATTGAACGTGTGGAAACTTGTTAGCGATCGATACGCATAGAAGACACAGTCGCCAGTATTGGCGACTGGCGATCGCCCGTCGCTATGCTATACTCCTCGAGGAGTATAGCACCTGCCTAAGACAACTGAGAGTTTAGAAAACCGTGAGTTCTGCGAGGAACAGCGATGAGGCGGGTAGAACCTTATATAAACTCAGACAATCAAAGGCCTTCAGCCGGCCCCACCAAGAGCGTCGTTTACCGCCGCCACTTTTCGCTTCCGCTGAGGAATGCTAGAAATGGCAGCGAGCGGGTTGCCATAAAGCCTTCAGCGCGAAGCGAAAGCGGCGGTCATGCCTCAGACAATCAAATGCTCTCAGCCGGCAGCCACAAAGCCACCGCCTAGACCCACCAAAAGCGCGGTGGCCTCATCGCCTCAGTGTCGCTTCCCGCTGAGAGCTTTGTCGGAGTTTTGTCGGAGCTTGTCGGAGCGGGCTCAGCGGGCAGCGAGCCTGCTCCGACAAGCTCCGACAAAGCTCCGACAAAGCTCTCAGCGGGAAGCGACAGTGGCTGCGATAAGGCAATGACGCTTTTGGTGGGGCCCGCTGAGAGCCTTTGAATGTCTGAGGCCTTATCGCAGCCACTTTTGCTTCGCGCTAAAGACTTTATGGCAGCCCGCTCGCTGCCAGTTCTAACAAATTTGTCAACGGGAAGCGAAAAGTGGCGGCGATAAGGCAACGACGCTATTGTTGGGGACGGCTGAAGGCCGTTGAAGTTCTGAGAATAGGTACCTGCTTACCTTTGGTACTTTGACTGAGTTTCGACTGTAATGAAATAAATAAATAAAATATAAAGTTAGACAATAAGTCAATCGTAATGTCTTATCAACTCTACTGTGGGGTCACATGTTGGTAAACACATGCCAAGTATCAGTCTTACGCTTGTTCTTTCACCTTCATCGTAACGCTGTCTTTCTTCTTTCAGAAAAGCTCCGTTCCGTTCCGTTAGAACTTCTCTTCCCCCTTCCTTATCACCACTCCCGCGCTCCATTATGTCTTCAGGTCAAATGCGCCTACAATCACCCTGTTTTTACACCACTTGAAAGCAGGATACAGTGCTTCGAACTGAAAACGCGAGGAGTATATTTGAATAGATCACTATTCCTAGTAGTAGTCGCTCATAAGATAAAATAATGGATAAATTGAGGGCGCAAAGACAAAAACAAAAAAAAGTTCTTTCTACACCTCGTATGCTTTATCTCGATCTGAAACGATTTGAAGTGAGATCTGCACGAGGTAAACAGGCGAAGTTCGGAAATAATTGTGAGACCCGTAAAGGAACACGATAAATGATCCTCTGTTGAATTACAAAAATACCTAGGATAATCAGCAATAATTACATGGCGAATGTAGGAAAATCTTGCATCATCATACGTCGCAGTACTTCACGGAGTTCTCCGGACGAATGTTCTCATTGAGCAATACATTGATCATCCTAATGAAAAGTAATCTTTGGACGAAAAATGGGTGCTTTGGGACGACTTACCGGGTTTCGACATCCAGAGTAAGTACGAAGTCCTTTTTGGTTGGAGCGACATTCCGCCGAGATCTTCCAGAAGATGGAACACCCAGCTCGGCTGTGTCGTCCACAGTCAGCAATGGATGAGCGCCGAGCACTGCGTCGGCTGATCGCTTTTCTCGGAAAGCTAATACGGTTCTCTTTCGCGCGCATTGAGGTGGCTGAATTCGAATTCAATACTTTGTTTGTAGTTCCGCCGATAAATTGCGATTTTTCTGTAGAAATCAAATTGTAATCTTAACATGAGACCAAGCCATTTCTCAAAATACTGCCATTTTTTAACAGAGTGTCTCCAACTCCAAGCGTGTGGTCCGTAATGGCAGTCTTCGGGCTGCAGTTTCACTTAGATGTCACCTAACATGCGCCGAAATCCCGCAAAGTTATCCTTGCAAGCGTTCCAAGTGCGATAAACATATGAGCCATCGGTAGATAGTATAGTTGTGAATGTGTTGAACCATGATAATTATACTCAAGTCATTTGTAATTCAATACGTTTTGCACACCCGCGCTACTTGACTTGTGAGATTGGAAGCTGTACTTTTTTACTGTTTATTCCATGTTTCCTTGTCCCTTTTGGTTTGTCTGATATATTAGATTGTCTCAAAAGTAAACTCCATTTTCGAACTAATCAAGCTGTTTTTGTTTTCCCAGTAAACTTAGGTTATCATTCGATAGAGCAGATCAAGCTCTACAAAATAACTGCCAAAGAACCACCTAAACCGCATTCCGTGGAAAGTTTGAAGCTAAAATCGGAAAAAAACTTTGTCACCTAAAAATTGGATTTCTGCGATAAAGAATCCTACAACCCCAACTTGGTCATTAGATAGTAGGCACATAGTAGTACACAATTATGCTTTTATCGAATTTTTCAAGCATAGAAAGCGAGAAACAAAAATTATCCAAAAATGGCAAACTGCGCCCCAGCTCCTCCCACATATATCATTGTATACTACAAACCCTACTAAGTATAATTTCAAGAACTTACCTCTGTATATGCTCTTGTATTCGAGAAATACCAAGTTTTCATAAAAAAAAGCCGAAAAAAGTGGCATTTTGGCATTTCGGACCATCTTTTTTTCTCAATTTTGAGCCCCGGAAAAATCCGCCAAATACATTTTTGGACACTACTATATGTCTACTATATAAAGACCAAGTGAGAAGTCTGTAGGAATTCTCTGGAAGGAGATCCGATTTTTAAGGTAGTTGAAAAATCTTGATTTTTCGTCCCAAATTTTATCTGGATTACGACTTAGGTGGATCTTTGGTGGTCTTTTTGTAAAGCTTGCTCCGCTCCATCGAATGGTACCTTAAGTCTGTTAAGAGAACAAGAACAGCTAAATTTATTTGCAAATGGAGTTTACTTTTGCGACAACCTAATATATCGCTGGTAGTGCACACTTCTACAATTCGTTACGCTAGATGTTGTATTAAAGAGTTACTAGTAATGGTGTCGCCAATTGCCACGCATAGTGTGTAGGCCAACAATTAGAGTTACAAATGACTCAAAAATAACTAAATTTGGACCGTAAAAACTCTTTGAAGTGCAGGCATAAATTATGTCTGCCCAAATTTATGAAGTTCTCCATCCAACTTCCTATAACTTTCAAAGTTTCAAACGCTAAACACACCACTTGAGAAATACATGCTGATCCACTCTCCATGTCACAAAGCGAGATTTTGCATTGGAATACAATATTGCCTTCTCCAGGAAATTTGAAGACGGACATTTCCTGAGAAGTGAATCTGTTTTGACGAAAAACCCTACATAAGAAGGGTTAAGAAGGGTGTTACCTGATACACATACGCATCCATTCCTTGCTTACCGAAACGAGAATAGTTGGGTGTTTCAAGAAAATGATGGTCAATTTCACACCTAAAAAGGCCAAAGTACCAAAGTATGTTCATAACATTTCTTTTCGGATTCTCACCAAAACTTTCACAAAAATATTTTTTAAAATATCCTGTTAATCCTATCGATTGACTATGATGCTTTGAGAGCACTTTCGCGTAAGTGTTCCATAATTTTACAAATTCCTTTATGTAAAGGTGAATGTCTGTTTGTATGTAGGTATAAGTGGTGGAGCGAAGCGGGAGGGCCTCCTCCTCCCCTCCCCCCCCCCCCCGCGAATGGGTCGCAAAATTTTTGAAATTTACTCACTTGGGTTATGAGAATGTGCAAGTGACTTGTTTATTCTTGCGAACGATTTAATTTTGAAATTTTAAAAAATTCAAATTAACCTTGTAAAAATTTTTTTGCGGGCATGGCTGCCGCCTCGCCCCCCTTTTTTAGATTCAGGGGTTATGGACCCGCAAAAATGGGAAGCACCCTAAAAAAATTTTCTGAGTGCGTGGCTAACGCCACGCACACTCATTTGAAAAAAATTTTTTGCCGCCTTCCCCCCCCCCTCGGACGGAATGCATGCGAGCGCCACTGTTATGTATGTCTGTATGTGTGTACGTATGTGCGGAATAGAATTTTTTATTTCTGTACTGATTTAGACCAAACTTGGCACGCATATACTTCGGGCGCGGAGCGTGTCATGGGCTACTCCTCGTTATCGATCGAAATCGATTTTTCGCAAGTTCAAACTACGAGGCTGAGAGTTGGCACATATGGGGGGGGGGGGCATTTGACCATTCTGATTACGAATACAATACAAGTTTTCGATTATCCGTTACTGCTAACAATTTTATCGATTTTTTTGCAAAGCTTGAGCTAAGGGGCTGGGATTTGGTGCAGGGGTAAGTGAACATGCTGATTACTGACACAGCTGGAGTGGGGATTTGGCATGTAGAAGTGGGCACAGGAAAGGTTGTACAGGGATCAAGACGGGACCTTTATCATAGTGTTTTGAGAGGACCGGGCGGAGCCGAGTAAGCCAGCTAGTTCGGAGATTACACTGCATGACCGGACCAACGCAGATAACCTCTCCTGGGGCTTACATTCAGCTAGGTACAAATTGGGGAGAGTGGCTCAGGTTTCCAAGACGCTGCATTCCAACGATCTCCGTAATTCTATTACATTACTACTTAAATGGTTACCCTATCATTATTTATGAAAGATGAAGTCGAATAGTAAGGAGATTTTTTCCACTTACCCTTGGCTATCAAGAATCTGGACAGAGCTTCTCTCAGATTTTACATAGCAGTCATGGACAAGGTACTTGTACGTTGGCGCTATAAATGAAGGGCAGTGCCTTGAGCTGTGTGAGCATCAAACAGTTAAACTTACGGCTATCGCATTGCCACTTGTGATAAAGGGTTTCACCAACTTTTGCGTCTAGAGCAACGCATTGCGATGGGCTGTATCTGTAACAAAACGGATAAATAAGGAATGTGCTCTAACATACGCACCTGTGTATACGATAGCTGCAATCGGTGTCACCAATACTCTTGGCAACTCGTCCTACTTCTTGCGGGGTAAGAGGTTGAGCAAAGAAGCAGTTGATGTCTAAGCCCTGCAAATGATGTGTTCATAGTCAGTATGTGAATACTTTTTCAAGTCTATAGGCAGTACATAACTAAGCGCACTACCTCAGCGGTTTCAAGCTCAAGGTAACGAAAGCTGTGATGATATGGTAATACGAATGTGCTAAATAAACTTTTAGTTCTGGAAGTGAGATCTCAAAATAATTCAATTGTAATTAGCCGACGCTAGGTTGTTGCGAAAGTTCTGTCCGATTTGCAGATTTTCTGATTCAAAACATTATAACTTTCATCAGGGTTAACATTTTCGAACACAAACTTTGTTCAGGGCCCGGCACGAGGTCGGCAAATGACAAGCTGGAAATCGTTCTGGGGCCAAAAAGCAAAGGGGAAATCGTTTTTGCGGGGTCCGAGGCAGAGCCCCGGAAAAAATTGGTAGTTCACGCTCGCTACTTATCTTGACATGTTATGTGCCTCAACAGGCGAACACTGGAGTTCGCGCGCGTCAAACCGCGCCGTCGCTAAGTGCCGCACGCGCGACGTCGCCCAAGCGATGCTATTTGTAACTGCATACATGACTAGTTCTCAATGTGTGTGTAACGATATGGCACCAAATTTTGTGTGCGAACGGACAGAGGCTAGTGGAAACATAGTATGAAAAATTATGAAAAACTTATGTGAACGGAACGAGTAATTAGCATTTTTTCCGAGAATTTCGCAAAACTGGTAAATGAAAATGTGAATTCAAACGGCTCGTTTGGAAAGCGCAGATGAACGATATGGTATGAAACTTGGTAAGTACATGCACACGGGCTTGCAGGACTTAACTGAGGAGTTTCATTGAGAAATTATGTGACTGAAGGTTGTGGCAAACTTTTTTCTGGAAATCTTGCGCTACCAAAGAAATGGAAAAATGGCTCGTTTGCAACGCAGAGGTAACGAAACTCTCAATTCACATAATTTTCTCAAAATTTTTACATAAATCTGTTGTACACCTAAAGTTTACTACATGGTGAAATTTTGGTTCCGAAACTCCTCCTCTTGTCCTTGCTGGAGCCCAAAATGGCATCAGCAGCCCAGCTTTCTAAGATAGAAAGCGCGCCCCAGTCAATCGATACGCGCGGGAACGGCGTCTCTCATTCCTATGACTGCGTTTCTTTGATATTTTCTCATTCCCTAATCCTTTTTACTGCTTATTTTTCTTCCTGTTTCCTATCTTGGTACAGCAATTTGAGTAATATGAGGAATTTGAGCAATTTGGGCGCTTTTGAGCGCTTTTAGGCGAAGTGTGGCCGGTAATCTCGTCGCACAAGCACAAAACGTCATTTTTGGGCTCAAGGGAGTATTTGTAAAACTTACTGGGATCAAAGGGGTATTCGTTTTGGAAAACCCCGTTTGCCCACCTTGTGCCGGGCCCTGACTTTGTTGGATCAAGCAAGACTATGGCTAACAAAGAGCATTATGCCATATGCCATTCGAAAAAGGCAAGTGAGAGAGAAGAGAGAATTTGGGGTTTGCGGGATTTTTTTCAATACCTTCTATTTTGACGCTGATGCTCCCCAGTAAGGATAGGTTAACATATTTGGCTGCCATCATTGAGTAGCCTATACTTCAAAGATCGTTTAACAGCTAATGGGATTTCAAGTTGTTCTTTGCTGCGTAGGAATTTCTATAAGCTGTTGAGACGCAGACTAATTACATGGTCCGACAGTCCTCACGCCAATCGGACGGTGCTCAGCAACTCCAGATGAGCTGTGCCTAACCGGGTGACCGGCGGCTTCCGTTCCCTTCTTTTTATCTTACATATACATATATAATAAAGTTTCTAGTCATTAATGTTATGTTCATATAAAGCAGAACAACTAGGGTGAACGATTCAAGTCAAGAGAGTGCATATCTTGGACAAGACAAAGCAACTCAAAAAAAAAAGCCTTTATTTAAGCACTCTCCCGCCCAAGTATACTGAGCTTTCAATATATGATTTATTTCTTGCTCTCGCGAACGATAAAAGGTAATTGGCTAATGATCCCTGCTTGCGCTCGCCTTGCTTTGAAATATGCGACACAGAGTATATCATTTGCCGCCATACGTAGGTTGTTGTCGCTTGCAGAACAACTAAGTCTGTCTTCAATCTTTGAAAACAAGTTTGGAAAGTTAAGATTTTTTATGGAAAAATAAAAGTGGGCATTTTTGGCCCATTATACTCTACTCAATGTAAAATATTACGTACGTAATTTCACGAACGCTGCGGAAATACTCTTCACAAAGTTTTTTCTTGAGATAACTGCATTTTGATCTCCTCACTGCAAGGGTTCCATACAAGTTGGTAAGCATTAGAAGAGAAGAAAAATTGCTTCTAAATGGTGCTCACAATAATGCAAAAAGTGCACTGTGCAAGGCATAGATTGGACAAAACTTTTGGAACAGCCTGGTATTAATGAGCAGCGTTTTTATCGATATTCTACACTATGCTTCACGTTTTCCTCTAGAAGCTTGTGCGCAATGACTTTAGTCTCTATTTTTGAAAAGACGAGCATGCACATAATTCCCTTGCATTGTTAGCCGAAAAAAGAAGAAGAAAAGAGAAAGAGAAAAAGTTGCCAAACACCAAAGTGTAACATAGGGTTGGGCCAGACTACGCTGAGAAAGCGGCGTAAGCGGGGTACGCCGCGTACGCCGCGTACGCTCGGTATGTTTCATCATAGGAGCGTACGCGAAGTACGCCGCGTACGCCGCGCAGTCTGGCTCAACCCAATACAGATGGAATGAAAAACCCTACTGGATCTCTGTAAGGAAAGCGAGCGCGGCTCAAAGGCAGTGTCCGAGCCAAAAGTCGATTTTGAGATCTTGTGCTTATAGGGGCCTATTGCCATGCTGAATCCGAAAATCCACACTGAAAGGCGCGAAAACGGCAAAAGCTCTAGCGCAGGAGAAAAACAGCAGTAGGCGAGGTCCTCCCACTGTGAGTTACACTCCCACCTTCCGGAGGTTCTTCTCGATTCCTCTAGCCATCCTAACATCGCTACCGGCCAAGTACGAATCTTTTTTATCCTCGCGTTGTTCCTTTGTATGGGATCTGCTACTCTTTCAATATCATTCTGTCCAATGCAATCACGGGATTCCTTAGCAAAGAACAGTAAAAAATCTTTAGTCGTACACTACGAACCGTAGCAAAGAAGAATCATCATATCTACCCTACTACTCTTGTAAGTCTTTTCCATTCTTAGCAATCTTCAGCTTGATGTTGATTTATTTGAAGTTCTTTCAAGTCCGCTTCAACTTTATCCATCCATCTTAGTTTCGGTCTTCCTTTTAAGTCTCCTTCCGGTGAGATCTACAGGACGCGCCAATTTAGTAACGTGATCTTCCTCTCTTCTTTTTACATGTCCGTACCATTGAAGTGGCTTTTCTTGCATCTTCTTGACAATCGCTGCGACTCTCATTGTGGTCCTAATGGTATCGTTGTTGACATGATCCAGCATAGTGATGCCTGCTGTCCATCTTAGCATACGTGTCTTCATTACACTAATCCTTTGTTCATCGCTTCGCGTACATGCCAACACTCGCTGCCATATAAGGCAGCTGGGCATCACGGTGCGCTACAACTGGGACTTCAATTTAATTATTATTTGTTTATCACACATGATTTCGGTAAGACTTCTCCATTTCAACCAAGCTGCGTTTATCCTCTCAGGTAATCGCGGAGGGAAGGCGGTCCGCAAACTCGCGTTTTCTTGCAGGAGGTCAGCAGAATTTTGGGGCGTGGCCAAACCTTCAGCGGGCGGTACCTCCTTTACTGCCGAATGTTCTACTAGCGGGGCAGAATACAGAGTTTTTTGCTGACGCTCGTCAAATAATCTCTTTCAGATAGCGCTGGCCAAACTTTCAGCAGGCGCGCGGACTCTTTTTAAGCAGTTTTGGGCGTACGTCGAGCAAATGTGAGACTCTATGCTGCAGAGGTGTCATCGATGGTTTAATTACTCAAGTTTGAGGTACATTCTCTTAGCGGAAAGTACCTGAGGGCTGTGCGGTTCTCTATAAAGGACCGCGCGGCCCTCAATAATTTTGCATATTCTCGCGAAAAGTCCGCGAGAATGCGGTCAATGCGCCGCAGCTAATCTTAGAAAAACCGCGATAGTTTTTCTAGCGTTTGTCTGAAAAATGGTCAATAGTTCTCCAAATTTCTGCAAGCGGGCCGCAAGAAATCAGCGAACTATTTTTCCGGTGCCCGCTTGCTCAAATTCGCATGGCCGCCTGCACCCGTGATTATCTGAGCTGGAGGTAATTTTTTCTTGAAGCGTACCGTCTGCTGATATGAGAGTTCCCAGATACTTGGAAGCAGTGGTTTTCTTCACGGAAATACTTTCAGTCTGGATGGTTCCAGGCCTTTGAACTCCCAGCTCCATGTATTCGGTTTTGCTGCGTTGATTTTCAGACCGTGGCTCTAGTTCACTTTTCCACTTCTGTACATCCGCCTCCAATTCTTGCCTATTTCTTGCCATCAACAGTACGTCATCCGCGTACATCGGGCGATTGGCGTATGAAGCTTCCAACTATCGCATCCAAAACCGTGATAAAAGGGAAGGGAGACATTACGGAGCCTTGGTGAACGCCAGCGTTTATGGGAGTCTTCTGATTGACCTGCTGCTGTTTGTATGTGGCTAGTGGCATCTTTGTATATCATCTTGATCCACTGCGCGTATTCTTCTGGCACCATATGCCTTCGTAGCGACCACCATATGATGTCATGCGGCACCTTATCAAACAATTTCTCCAAATCGAGGAACGCCGCATGCAATTCGCATTGTTTCTCCCTGCTTCTTTCAATTGCTTTCATCCTGGCAGCGTGTATAGCGTCTGTCGTGCTGCAACCCTTCACGAACCCATATTGATTAGGGGTCAGCTCTACAATGCTTCGAAGTCGCGTTTCTAAAATTCTTTCGAAGATCTTTAATGTGTAACACATGAGTCTGATTGGTTGGTACGTCGAACAGTCAGCTATGTCTCCTCTGTTTTTCCAAATCGGTAGTGTTGTACTTTTGCACCAGTCACTTGGCATATTCTTGGTCTTAACAATCTGATTCAGAAGTTGTGTTAACCATGCTACTCCAGCATGTCCGTATTTCTTCCAGAATTCGCTAGGGACATCGTCTAAGAGTGTTGCTTTACCATTTCTTGTTTTCTTAATGGCAACCGCCAATTCTTCTTCTGTGGTGTTGGGTACTGGTCGCAACACAGGATCAGCTGTTACTGTGGATGTATACGTATGGCTCGTGGATGCCGTGCTTGCAAAATATGTCCTCCATCTTTCATTAATTTCTTGCAGCTTTCTAAGTACTTTCCTGTGCATCTTTGATGTTATAGAAGTGCTCATCCAAATCTTTTGTAGCGTTTGCTCTTCTTTTCGCTAGTCAATGAATTTCTCGTTCGCCTTCACAATTTTGCAGTTTCTTGTAAAGTTCTTCCACATACGATTCTTTAGCCTCTCTGACACTTTTCCTTGCTGCGCGTCTCTCTTCTAGATATTTTTGGTGAGCATCTTCTGTGCGTGATTTCTGCCATATCTTGTATGCCGCCTTCTTCTTCTTTATCAGGGGCAAGCGTGGGGTGTGCCACGCCACACCTGGGGGAGGGGGTCTTACCTAGAAGTCAAAAGGGGAGGGGGTCGTAGTCGGGTAATCTGCAATAGTGGTAATATGATATTCGTATCATATCCATAATTAGCATGTCAATTAACCCCTGTAGGCAAAGTTTGAGCGAGTTCTGAAGATTCAAGATAGTAGGTACCTAAGTGAAATAGTCATATTCTAACACGGTTAACTTTGTTTCAAAGGTGAATTAGCTATCCGTTTTTGCACTCAAGACAAAGCACTACTCCTTCTTTGTCCATCTCAGAAATCCCGATTCAAAAGACCTCCAAACTGTGGAATTAGAAGCCAACCAAAATCTCATTTTTCCCATTTTTCGCCTTTAATGGCTGTGCTTTTACCAACTATTACTCAGAGCTAATATAAGAAGACGAATCACGGTCAAATCACTCCTATGAAATCTACGAGGTCTAGGCTATCGATTCATACGAACAACGTTCGCTAAAAATGTTTATTTGATATAGTTTATGGGGTGTGGCGCACCCTCTTAAAAGCTGTGGCAGCCACAGCTTTTAAGAGGGTGTGCCATTAACTATGTCATAAAAACATTTTTAGCAAACCATATTTATATGCATCGATAGCCTAGATCCCCTAGTTTTCACAGGAGTGATTTGAGAGTAATCGTTTTCTTTGCTCTGAGTAATAGTTGGTGAAAGCACAGTCATCAAAAGCGGAAATTGGAAAAAACGTGCACTTAAATGACCTCTAATTTCACAGTTTGGAGGTCTTTTGAAGCGAGATTTCTAGGATGGACAAACAAAGAGTAGTGCTTTGTCTTGAATGCAAAAACGGATAGCTAATTCACCTTCGAAACAAAGTTAGTCATGTTGGAAAATGACCATTTCACTTAGGTAGCCTAGTATCTTGAGTCTTCAGAATTCGCTCAAACTTTGTCTACAGGGGTTAATTGATATGCTCATTATAAATATGTTGCCCATTATGTTTGACAGGGCCTTCAGGTAATGGCATCTTAGGTATATAATTCAGAGGGGGGTCTTATCAAGACAGCAATCAGGGGGGGGGGGGTCGTAACCAGCGATCGTGTGCCACACCCCTTGCTTGACCCTGTTCTTTATGACGATCTGTACGGCTTCATTCCACCACCAAGTTTCCTTGTCAAGTTTCGGTCTTCCAGGTTAAGTGTATCCGACTAGTTCACTAGCTATACGATGGACATTGTCTTTCAGCTTCTTCTAGAGTTTTCTGAATTATCATCCAATTCTGCCAAAACAGTCGTCATTGTCGCTTTTGTGTAGGCATCGTTTTTGAGCTTCCTCCACTTAATACGCAGCCTATGCTCCGTCGCCTTCTTTCTTTCCTTATCAAGTAGGGTATCCAGGTCCAGTAGCAGGTGGTGGTCTATGCTGCGGTATGCAGTCCTCACCCGGGATGACCTCGCTATTCTTTACATACCTGAGATCATGTTGTCGCACGCACCAGAAGTCTATCTGCGATTCTCGTCCTCCACTGGCGTAGGTAACCAGATGGCTACTTCCCTTTACGAAGTGAGTACTTGCCAGTTCCAGTTCGTAAGCAGCAGTAAACTCAAGAATGCGCCCTCCGCCTTCGTTACGCAGTCCATATCCATGGTTTCCATGGCATTCCTGCACTACCTCGTCGTTCTCCTACATGACCATTGAAATTTGCACCAATCAGTAATATCTCTTCAGGCGGTACGGATCCGATATAGTCATCAAGCTCTCCCCAGAATGCATCTTTTTCCTCATTGCCGCACCCTGTTTGTGGTGCATAAGCAGTGACTATTAGCAGGTTTCTCTTTCCATTTTCTATCCTGATGCTCATAAGTCGGTCAGTCATTCTTTCCACGTTAGTAATTCTGTTTTTTAACCTCTCACAAACAACTATTCCGACTCCGTTCCTGCCGTTACTTGTTCCTTTACATAGGAGTTTGTATCCATCTCCTATATCGCGCGACTTTCACCTTTCCACTTGGTCTCCTGAAGGCAAGCAATGTCTACTTTACTTTACTTTTAAGAAAATTCGCTAATTCCCCCTGTCGTGCCGTTAGGGACCCTACATTGATAGTAGCCAGTCGAAGCGGTTTTGAAGCCTTCGATCGTTGTCTGAACCTATGATGATTTACCAAATCTAGTCCTCTCCTCTCAACTTGTTGAAATGGCAGTCTTCTTTCAGGGTTCGCATTCATTTGTCCGTCACTTTTGGGAAATGCCAAAGCTGTTACTTGAAGTTTTTGTTGAAAGATAAAAGAGGTTTATTGATGCGACGTTTTGACTTCTCCAGCCGGCTTGTCGCTTGCTTCCCTTTGGGTTAGCAGCCTGACGCTGGGAGAACAACCACACACGATGGTGGAAGGAGTGTAGGCCAAGTACGAATGGCGAGAAGATCGCTCCTGAAGGTGGGAGCGTGAATTCACAGTGGAGAGGACCACCGCACACCTGCCGATTTCCACCCTGTGATGGAGCCGTTTTTGCCGTTTTCGTGCCTTCCAATGTGGATTTTGTACTCGGCATGGCGAATAAACCCGGATAGGCACAAAATCTCAAAATCAATTTTTGCCCGAACATGCCTTCAAAGCTGCTGCTGCTGTTTCAGCTACATTACAGTGATTTACACCAGCAACGGTACGAGCGCAAATACGTCATTAATGGCACCGTCCAACCTGAATTAGGGGTCTTGTGCTTTCGGCAGCTTACGATAATAGGACACCATAACAAGTCAATGTCAAGTCACGGCCCAAATCACTTCGGAAGCGAGAAAATCGCTTCGGAATAGCGAAGAGGCACGAGGACCCCCAGATGGCAGCGCCCCAGCCGCTTCAGTAATGCCCGCCCATCCGTGCGTACCCATCCAATCACTGTTCCAGCATACCGACCTGAGAGTTCTCAGGGATGGAAATTGCTAATGTTTTCGCGGACTCTCGAGTTCATATTCGAAATCAGGGACATGAGAAGACCCCGAAACGACTAAAACATGGAAGTTGAGAATCTGGGTGGACGGTGCCTTTAATACCCTGGAGACTGCAATGGTCAGACACCTGTATTTGAAAGGAGCCAATTATGAGGCTAGCCCTCGCGATGGAGGGTGAGAAGTAGACTAAAGAGGAAGTGCCAACGCTGAGTTGCTTCTGCTTTAGACATAGTGAAGACATCTTTTATTCGACTAGAACTCTGCTTAATTGAATTTATGCGAAGATAGAAAAGAATCTCTTCAACTTTCGGCTCAGATTGCATTACTATGTACGCAGTTATGATGGAACTTATTGTTAGGTGTATCAAATGCTGTCGATTATCTAAAATGTAGGAGAAAACCATATTTCATGGTTGGACTGCCTTTTTCTATCTGAACATGGTGACCTACTGACCTGATCTGCTCTGGTAATGATGAGAGGATGAAACTGTAAGATCACTGTTATGTTGAAATTGTATCCATCGCGGTTCTGAAAACATACAACATATAGCGATCATATGATTGCTGCGACGAGACGAACGACTTTGCTTTTCTAAAGTAAGTTATGGACTTCTTATGAATTTCGATTTTTAATAGATCACACGATGAAGGTTGGCAGTCACTAAACAGCCTACTTATGACTCTCTAAGCGTGAGTAGTAACTGCCAAGCATAGTGTCCCAGCCTTGTAATTTCTCATTTTTTTACAATAAGAAAAATGAGCCCGATGGAAACTTGGGGTAGCGAGAAACATCGGCTGTCCCTAGGGCCGGCAGTAATCTACCCTACTTGGCGGAATCAAAGATGCCGCCAAGTTGGCACACGTCACGGAAAGTTGCCATCTTCGGCGGCAGCTCGTGGAGTGATTCTAGGTTTTAATAATCTCACTTAACCTTAGTACGCAATATTTCGCACATCAAATTTTGATGATGCACACAGCCGCAAAACTGCTACATCGCGCGCGATCGAATCTAAGTGCGTTAACTCAAGTGCCACCACGTTAACCATTCGACCATTCGGTCAGCCATTGCCGTTTGCACCAGCAATAGGAGCAGAGGTGCGATAGTCGGAGCCGAGTCTCCGCCTACCTTCACTTTTGAGCTGGTACGGGGTGACCACCTTCACTTTTGGGTTTGAAAAAAAATTTTTGTTGAAGCTCAAAAGAAGGAAAATAAGCAAAAGGAAGGTAAAAGAAAGTATTGGGAGCATATATCTATGTAGTAAGTCGAACCAGGAAATAACCGCCGAGAACCAGAATTTCGAATGATAAAATAATGAAAAATCATGCGATGATTCCATTGTTATAAATCTGCTGGTTGAAGATGTCAGCAATTGCGACTTCTTTGGTTTTGAAGGGCAAGTGTTGTTCTACCAGACAGTGAAAGAATTAGGTCGATCTGAGCAGTGGCCGCCGAGAACGAGAATTTTGAAAAATTAAGCGATTTTAGGTTACTTAGTGACAGCTAACGTTTAGACTCCTATAAATCTGGAATGTGAAGGAGTGCAATGTTGCGACTTCATAGGTTTTGTAGAGTAAGGATTGCTGTATCGGACCATGTCTTAGCCGTAACGATCCAATAAGATACCGCCGAGATTCAGGCTCTTGAAAAAAACAAGTGAAAAACCGCTTTTTGAAATTCAACAGCGCATAACTTCTCCAGAATTGCATGAGTCATGTTGCGACTTCATAGGTTGGATTCTCCTCATCAAGAGCTTTCAGATGATATATAATATGTGGGGGGTTCAATGATTTTTGCGGCTCTAACCCAGGGTGGAGACTTTTCACCCCAAAGTCTCCACCTCGCCCATTTAATGTACTGGCCGGAGACCGCCAGTGGAGACTTTGGGGTGAAAAGTCTCCACCCCCGGGCATATGCTGTGAGAGGCGCAAAACCCCCCACATATTATATATCATCTGAAAGCTCTTGATGAGGAGAATCCAACCTATGAAGTCGCAACATGACTCATGCAATTCTGGAGAAGTTATGCGCTGTTGAATTTCAAAAAGCGGTTTTTCACTTGTTTTTTCAAGAGCCTGAATCTCGGCGGTAGCTTATTGGATCGTTACGGCACATGGTCCGATACAGCAATCCTTACTCTACAAAACCTATGAAGTCGCAACATTGCACTCCTTCACATTCCAGATTTATAGGAGTCTAAACGTCAGCTGTCACTAACTAACCTAAAATCGCTTAATTTTTCAAAATTCTCGTTCTCGGCGGCCACTGCTCAGATCGACCTAATTCTTTCACTGTCTGGTAGAACAACATTTGCCCTTCAAAACCTATGAAGTCGCAATTGCTGACATCTTCAACCGCAAGATTTATAAAAATGGAAATTTCGCATAATTTATCGTTATTTTATTATTCAAAATTCTGGTTCTCGGCGGTTATTCCCTGGATCGACCTACTTTGTTTGTAGTACGTTATGACAAAATTTACTTGATAAAATCCGTACAGTCCCGCTATCTTTTACTTCCAAATACACCATTTACTAAACACGTTTATTTTAAATAAATATGCCGCCGTGTTCCTAAAAATATGCCTTCAATGATCTTTTTTGCGTTTGTTTTGCTTATATTCCGCGCACTGGCGGCAACGACCTGGAAGGATAGGCTCAGTCGACGTTACCCCCCCCCCCCCCGTCGACGTTTTTGGGAGGTGAGTGTCCGGCACTACCACCTTCACCCGGTCAGTGGTAGCTGGAACCACCTTCACTTTTGGGGGGCCCGGCTCCACCTATCGCACCTCTGAATAGGAGGAACGCGCTGGTAAGTGGCCGCCTGTAAGAGGGATCGATACATTGCGTGAGAGACTTTGACGTGAAAGAACAGCTGATTGATATGAGCGAGAGAGGGGCGAAATCGTTGCAAACGAGATTTAGAAGAGATTTCCAAAAAAGATGATGTTCTTTATGGCTCTCACGCATTACTAGATTTTTCCTTTGTAAGAAAATCGTCGTTTCAAAAAAGAGAAAAACTCATATAATGAAAAAAATAATAGTTTCTTGATGAAAAGTAGAATTTTTTGGTTTTTTCGCCCGACGTAAATTGTGTGATATTGCCGCACTTCCCAAACTTGCAGACGCCGCCAGCAAGGTGCCACCACCTCGACATGGTAGGGGCACGTCATGATGGTGGCACCTTGATCTCTCAAAAGAGCACGCTATTTTTCGTACTCTCTGACCTGGCGGCATCTCTCAGCGATGAAATTTCGACGAGATGCCACCAGGTCAGCTCGCGAAGCTGCCGCCAGCACCTCCTGCCTTCCTCTACAATTCTGTTTGGGGAGGTTTTTAGCACCTTCAGTTGCCAGGCAAGGTTCCCTAAGGTCACTATGACCTCCTCGACCAGAAATACGTGTTGAAAAGGGTTGAGAGGGCGCAAATTCGAGCTCGGTGTTCGCGCCGACTTCACGTAAAGATGACGCCGACCTCACGGCGAAACATGCCGCCAGGTCAGGAGATTACTACCGGCCTAGGTGTGTAACACAGAGAGCCTAATTAAACAACATACATGTATTTTCCACAACAATTTGAACCCCATTTTCAGAGTTTATGGAGTAATTCGAGAATCAGAGAAAAGAAAAAGCTGAGCGTTATTTCGAGCTTCTGTTTCTGTCGTAGCAATATAAGAGCGAAGCCATGTAAATTTGACAATGAAAGAGACCTGTGAGGGTGTCTTATAGAGCCCACATTCACCATCTCTAAACGTGATAGTCAATTCACGTGACGATCCATCGCTGGCCTGAAAAGGAAATCAAAACTACTGGCATCTGCCTTAAAATATGTCTAAACTTACCAGGGTACATGCAGGGGTATCGTGGTAATTCTGAGCATACATCAAGCCATGCATCGGACGTTGAGTTCGAACAGTTAGTGACATGGAATTTGCATTGCACGTGACGTCTGTGGCTCCACGCACGCGAGGTTCTGAGGAAGAAGGAGGATGAGGGAAGCTATGGAACTTTCATGAAAGAGCTTACTGGCATCTGGGCCTAGCTCTAGACCTTCACAGCCAAAGCCGACGTGTTTCATCAACTCTGCTTCAAACTCCTGAAAAGAATGATTTCAGATTAATTTTTCTTTTCAAATTTAAGTTACATTGTCTTCGAACTGGCAAGCGAAATCAAGTATCAATGTGAGAGTTGTGAAAACCCCTTCATTACTGTATGCTATCTTGTCAGAGTCTAATACGGTAAACTCTACGCATCAAACCATTAGCGTCAGTCTTTTTCTTAAAAAGACAATGCTATTCTTTACGTGAGCGTTTCGTGGAGTGAAGACTCGAGATTGATCACCAGCAATTTGCAAGAGCTCGGCTTCATCTACATACGGTCTGGGAGTGACACTGACAGCTATCAGGGTGATACCTAAAAGTAACCATTCGTGCGAATTACTGTACCTTTCCAGTCTAGCACTCTACCTTGAGCTCGCATAGCATCCGCTATTTCCTTAGGTGACCGTGCAGAATGCCCATCAGTCAAGACAATCACCAACTTCGGTATGCCGGGACGAATTCCTAAAGCGACTATGTTCATCCAACAAGCTACAAAAAATGTGCTCTTTACCATCGTTGGGGTTCTGCGACTTGAGCAAAGTAAAAGCCTCTTGCAAAGCCAAATCTGTAGATGTTGTTCCCTTTATGGAACGTAGGGTGTTAAGATGGTTGATAACTGATGTGTTGTTCCCGAATTCTCGACTGTTGAACTTGAAATGTGTGAACGTCATTCCGGAGTACGTTATCAGCGCCATTCTAAAAGCTGTTACTGGTAACGCTAAAGAACATCGCTAGAAAAAGTGATCAATTGAATGCTAACGTGCCTCACAGCTTCGGGATGGATATGGATGTTGTTCACGATGCGTTCTATGGCAAATCGCACTTGTTCTTTGAACAACTGATAAAGTGATTCGGATGCATCTATCACCAAGACCAGATCCAAGGGCTTGTCTGAGCCTTTCACGCATGCTGTAAGGAGTAAATTCCGCAAACCTTATGTTGATCAAAAATCGCTTACTCGGAATCGTTTCGCAAATTTCAACGCCGTGGAAGGGATCGAATTGAGGTTCTAGTCTGTTCAAATTTGCATTCGTCACTATTTTCGATGCATCCTAAATGTGTAAATGATAGATAATGTATATTTGATAGATAAACATTCTTCTCCATATCCTATCTTTCTGTTTACGACGGAATGAGGAAAAATCATTTCTCAAGTTACAAAGTCTTCAACAACAAAGAAATAGGGGTTTAAACTTTAGCCCAGTTATAAATTGTAGCCATCGAAAAAGTGCCTCTTGTGTTATTTTGAACTTTTTCCTTTCTTTTTGGTCCAGATGTGACACGAGCCACAGTAGGTGTATCGCAGTGGTGGTCCGAGAAAGTTTTTTTAAAGAGCTACATAAATCGTTTCCGAATTAGTTGGCGTGGCGACAGCCGCCCGAAAAAAATTCTACAAGGCTAACTTGAATTTGCAAATAGTATAGACTATTCAAATTATTTACAAGTATAATAAACGAGTCTTTTGCAGCTTTATAACTCAACTTTCAACAATTTTGAGATTTCGCCCCCGCAGGCCGGATCACGCATGTGAGAGCGAAAGGATTTGTAACACTTTTCGCTCTTTTCACCTCTATCACAATAACCCCTATCTATCTGCAAAAGCTACTTCTTCTTTCTCATGGCATACCCCTTGAATGTCCATCAAAAATACGACTGGAACGCTTACAATCCTAAGTTTACAGTGTTTACCCTCCTTTTAACGGCTCCATCAATTTCCAGCGGGGCTTTCCACCCAATGCAACCAATGTGGACGGCCTCATAAATCACTTTGTTTTTCTTTGTTACGCATTGGCAGTACACAAAGGTGACTCGTACTTGGGCGTAAACTACCTGTTTTTAGGTACTTTCAACAACAATTTTCATGACATCATCAACATTCGCGGAATTCGCTTACCCGAGTATAGTTCACAAGAGCCGGTGTAGCGACATACTCTCCTGTACCGTATGCCCAAATATCAATGTTTGGTATTGTTCTGAAAACTAGGAGAGTAAGCTGATCGTAAACAAGTTTGTTCGGCAAACTGACTTTCTCACTACGTCGGCCATCTCCCAGTCTTTTGGATAGTCGTGTGTCCTTCCGTCTGAGAGCAAATACAGAATTTTAGGCACATTTGCATCCCTCATTCCCTGAAATCAAGATTTTGCAGGTGAATCCCTGGATGACTAAGGTCAGCTTACGTTAATGGGATCTCGCAGAATTTCGAGCGCAAACTCAAAAGCTCCACCGATGCGGGTGATGCCGGACACATGTCGCAGCACATCGAGAGCTGCCAGCAGATCTTCGCGGCTTGTGAATTTGTTGAAATTGAATTCCAAGTGCTGGGTTCCACTGAAGAGATTCAACTTGTGGGAAGTTACAAGCACACCCAAACACGGTGCTTACCTGAACTGGATGAGCATCACATGGGTGGCGGTATCGCCGATGGTTACGTGTTTTATGATGCGACGAATCACATCGATCTCATCTTGGAACTTATCCCTCAAGGATCCCGAACTGTCCAAAATGAATATCAGGTCCAGCGCAGGAGCACGTATGACACAGCGAGCTGAAATAGGGATAAAATTTTCAAACAAACCTCGCAATTCACAAAAGAGTAAAATCCCCTAAAATGCTATTCAACGTCCTAATAGCCTCAAACATTCATTCTCAAAGCATTTTTGTTCCTGCGGAGGAGCACTCCTCTCCAATCCCTTTACCTGCTGAGGCAATTTGTTAACTGATATGGAAGTTCAGTTAAGGTCATGCATACTGCTCATCAAATTATCCTGATGGTAATCATATCTTCGCTGGAGTTTGCAAGAATTTCAATGACATATTTTTCCGCAGCTTGATAAAGCCCCTTATGTATTGGTACACTCCTTTCATTGACAGAATGAAATTGAATCACACTGCAAGACATCCATAGCCACAAAACATGAAGTTGACACCATTCTGTCTCTTATTTCGGTAAACCAACAATAAACTTCAGCTTTGCTGATAAATGAAATTTTTTCTTCGTACTCTTGTATAGGACGCTTGGAAAGTTTTGGACGGAGTGAACAATAAATTGATAAGAAGAGTGAAAAAAGATTATGATTAATTTGCCGTTCACGTAAATAGAATCATGTCATCTTTATCTCTTTTGACTAGAATGCCAAGAAAACGCGAAAATCGAAAATCCTTCACTTCATGGGCCACTCATTAAAAAAGGCTCAAGAAAGCTAAGCGTTGCTCATACTTATTAGCAAATACTCAGAAAAAGCTATTTTCTGTTAATTGTTTATGCATTTTTGATCGCGAATACTCCTCCCTTTCAAGAAGGTCGGCAAACGAGAATCACATGCAAAAATACAAAAAAGCTAGATAATTCAAGCTGCACCGAATAATATATTAAGACTTTCGCTGCCTTTCAAAAAGAGTTTTCCCAAATTTTAGGTGGTCTACTTTTGCTACAGCGTGGTTGTCAAAGCTATACCCTATCTTCACTGCAGTTCGTTCATTTTCACTCTTCCTAAAAAATAAAAGTAGGTCTCTAGCGCCAAGTACATTAAGTCATTCTAAAAGTCTTTCTGTCATTTTAACCTACCATAAAAAACGTGAAAAGAAGGTAAGAAAATGCCGCAAACGCCATCCGGTATAGCTTTTCTTCGTCTTTTCTGCAATCATGTTCATGCGCTGGTTATTCCCGTAGTCACTAAAATAATAGCCATCTCGAATCCATGCTTTTACCATGTCCAACTTTGGCAATTTCTCAGAGTATTCATTTTTAACCACTGGAAAAGCTGATAGCAATTAGATAGCGTAAGCGAGGTGCAATGCAACGTAGTCCTTTGACTGCTCTGATTGGCTTCTCGGTATCTTTCAAATAACTTTTCCAAAAGTCTTCACTTTTGCGAAGTCGTGAACACAAACGCTTCAAACACTAACAAATTTCGGATTTTGAAATTTTTTTGAAGTCGCTTGTGATTATCCACTATTTTTACAAAATGACTGAGCATTTACCGCCGCGAAATACCAAATTTCGCATTTCGCGTGTGAAGCCTATGGTGGGTTCAAAATCAAGAATTCGTAAATTTTACTGCCAAGGAATTTAAGAGTTGGGAAAACAAGAATAAAAAGGAAAAGTTGCATCGAATGACACCTTTTTTATGTGCCGTTTCAAGTTCCATGACTCTTCGAATGACCAAAAGTGGATTTTGATACATGAGAAATATAATTACAAAAATTATAAAAAGTCAGCTATAGGTGCTAAAAAAATTGCATTACATTTCACTCTGTTTATGCTCTCTAATCAGGGCTCGCACGAGCTGGCTAGCTGAAAATGCAAAAAACGAAGTCCCCTTGCTTTGCGAATCTTTACAAGTCCCCATTGACCCTAGACCATTATCCCTAAAAAAATCTCCACTTCGACCAGAAAAACGTCGCAAATTCTGTGCAAGAACAAAGCCCCTCTTTGCATTTTGTCCCAAGATATCCAGCTTGGCTATAAGCCAACCTTGCCGATCCCTGCCTCTAATTGCTATCCAAGCTTTTGCAAAAGTTCAAAATGAAGATTCTGAAAAATTGCCAAATTTGGAAATGGTAAAACTCGGTTCGAAATTTCGGCAATTTTCTCAGCGACCACAAGAGTAACAGCACAGGAATATGATTGCTGAAAACCAGAAAGAAAAGCAAGGTGTTTGCAGCGTTTTCCTACCTTACCCGCGGATTTTCGCGATAGATTTGAACATAGAAAGAACTTTCGAAACTACCCAATGAATGGTTTGTCTATTCCTCTCTTGCTACCTCGCTTACGTAACCAAGAGTGTGTCCATCTCGGCTTCTCATCTATAGCGGTCCTTAGCAAGTGTTGCGCCTTTTATTACGTGGACACGCTTAGCAGATCCATTCACGCTGTCATCTTTTTCAGTTTTTTGCTTGTCAGCATGTCAAACATAAATCAGGCGTAACAAGCTCTTTGATTCTAATCTGGACCCTAATAGACGCGATAGGTACGACTAAATCTCTTCCTGATGACTTTGCTAATGCTTTTTTGGTAAAATGATGGAGTGATCATTCGGCAAGAAGAAGCCTGAGAAAGTGAAGTGGCGTCCGGAGCGGGGAGGAACGGGGAGAGGCCTCACCCCAAAAATCGGTTGCAAAATTTTGAAAGTTATTTACATGGCTTATAAAAATGTGCAAGTGATTTATTCTTGTAAATAATTCGAAAAATTTCCAAAATATTTTAAAAATTCAAACAGCCTTGTAAGAAAAATTTTTTTCCGGAGGTTATGGACCCACAAAGGTTTTGGGAAGCATGCTAAAAGACTTTCCGAAGTTACATCATTCGATCCGTTACTGAAGTTTAGCACTCATTAGGCGAGAAATCATTTGGCTTCGGCAGTTTGTAAAGTTTCTCAGTTCTCCCTTTTCTAAGAAATTTGTGAGATACTGCTGGAAAAGAAGTTTGCGAAATTTCAAAAAATTTCATACTTCATTATGCTCTTGATTATACCAGTGGACACTTTGATAAACAGTTTGTGAAAAAATTTTTGAAATTTCGCAAACCGTTTCTTTTCCAGCTGTGTTTCATGAATTTCTCAGAGAAGGGAAAGCCGAGAAACTTCACAAACTGCCAAAGCCAAATGATTCCTCGCCTAATGAATACTGATTTACGCTTTTTAAACTCAAGCTTGTTTCCCAAACGTCGAAAGTGGACTAACAATAATTCTCATATCTGTCATTATATCTACAGTTCGGGAAGAGTAGTTTTGGAATTTCGATATAATTCTTGATAGAGAACCAAAATTTGGTGTCAAGAAAGTTTAATGAAAATCAAATGTTTTATAAGTTCCATACAAAAGAAGCTTCTAGATACATAAAGCAGGAGTTGTAGACGATTGCGCATACGAATTGGATTCTCTAGTAATTCTTTTCAGAAAAGGAGAATTTTAGAAGGCACATTGAGTTGATTGAAACTACGGCTAAAATTTACAGTTTCACCCTGAAAAACGTAGGTATTTTAGAGTCTTTACGTAATAAGGTGATTTTGAATTTTGCGCTCTGCTGCTCTAAAAGCACATAAAGTGAGTCTATTTTTTGAAACATTCCTTTCCCTTTTTAATTGTTTTGTCAGTATCTTTGATTAAGATGGCAAAATGTAGGTTGCAAATGCCCTAAAACGATTTAGTAAAGCAAATGTCTCAAAACCCATCAGTGTAAAAGCATCCCGAACTAGTTCATACCCCTCCCAATCATCCTCGAGCGCTCTTTGTTCCCACTGCGTGTAGATGGGAAAGTCGCAAAGCATAGCTATTCGATCGACATGACACACTAGTAAGCATACCGTAACCGGTTTTTGGTATAGTAACATAACGGTAGAGTGCCCGATTACATCTGTTTTGACTTTCTCCGAAAGGAAGAGGAATGTCACTAATTCGCGTATAAAGAACATCATCTCGTCTTTGTCTGTGGGCGTCTCACATTATCCATTATCAACCAGCAGGTACCACACAGGAATGTTAGGCTATAGTTTACAACGATATATAAAAAGTAAAAACAGAAAAGAGAAAGGACATACGCTTCACGGATACGGGAGAATGCACAATTTCAGGAGGAGCCAAGCCATTGTCGATAATTTTCACTTGAATAGAAGTGCTCAGTATGCTGCTTAGAAGAGCCACCGAGTACAACCAAATGGCTCCCATCTGGAAGCAGAGTTTGAACAATTATTCTGTGGAGGAAGGTCGAGGAGACATAGGGCTTAAAAATTGGAGGCATGACCTACTGTGTTTCGGGACAAAAGAATGACCAAGCAAAATGAATACTGTTCACAAAGAGAAACTAGACAAAGTGATTATTTTTCGGACTATTCACAACGTTGATTAATGACGGGATGACTAGCAAGGCCAAACAAACACTCGGAAGCTGCGCAGCCCTCCTAAGGCAACGAAAGTGATAGTCCCCATTGAGGGGCGGGCCGCCATTATGCCCGTGACGCAACAAGGGTCGCCTTCGGCATGGTGTAAATATGACGCAGGGCTACCACGCTCTTGTAACCTTCATCTTAGCGAACTTTCGAGAAAAACTGAAGGAAGGCAACAGTCGCGATTGCTTGTTGAACAGTAGCTATAGTACTCGCGGGCTCACACTTTTCGCAAAGAAAAGAAATTTTGGGGAGTCCCGAGATATGTCGAAGCTTAGTGATTACTCCAAAGAGTGTGAATTGAGAAAGGGGCGAATCAAATATAGGGGCGGAAAAGGGAATTAAAAGGGCGCGAAGGCCACGAAACTATGGTACGAATCTGTGCAATAATCGCTTGATAATGCACTTTGAAAAATTATGTTTGATAAAACACTTTTTAGGCAAAAAAAACGAAATAGAACCCTCAGCAAAGATTTCGGTGCAAGTGGCTTAGCCATCATCAAACAAAATTGTTGTCTTCCCTTAATTTCCCCTCCCCTCCTCTCCCTACAAAAGAATCATAAAGTAATGCTCCTGTTCCTGAAAGGCGATAAGGTTCTTGATAAAGAGGTCCCATGCAAATTCGAGAACGAAAAGTGTTCAAATTTGTAGGAGTTTTTGGAAGGATTAGCGAGCAAGCACGAGAAAAACCAATCTTTTTCGCGTCGCTCAGTCATGCCAAAAGTGGTATTAGTCTTTGTAAATCGAAGCTAATCTAGCGGACTCGTTCTTCGCCATCGGTAAGCCAAACACATACGCAAGCTAGCACGAGTTTATACTAAAGTACATTATGGTAGTTCAGAGCAGAATGAAAAAAAATTAATTTATATCATGAATTTATCCACTGCACCGAGAACACCCAGTCCAAAATAAAGAAAACAAATTTTGTGTTTGTCAATGAACTAAAGTGTTCTTATGAACTGTTATGTGCAAAGAATATTTCGAGGAAAATTCAAAGGTGCACGTTCTATAGTATGTGACCAGCTTTTGAGCAGAAATACGATTTCGAGAGTTACAAACAGCATTAATGCCTAGGTGGAGTACTAACTGTAAGCTTCATGCTATGCTGATCTCAAATTTCAATCTCAAATTTTGAGGGGTTTACTAGTCCAAACACAATACTACTAATGTAAGCTAAATATGATTATAATACATTGTAGAATTACTGTGTGCTTTTCCGTTTTTGTATAAAATAGATTCTCGCAATTTAGGGCACGCAAGCGAATTATAGCACAATACATCGTCGCATACAAAGGACTACGAGAGCGAAGCCATTTTCCAATTTTCAGTTTTGACTTCTAGCCGCAAATAAATGCCACTTTTTCACATCAATAGTTTCATGTGTCAACTTATGATTGAGCTACCTAATTGTTTGTCTCTCTGTTATTGTCGTAAGCCACTATCACTGCCAACGTTTTCACGGCTCAAGTTCGACACAGACTACAATGCGTGCTTATTCCTGGCATCAAAGGCACCTTTCACCCTAAGTTGAGGTCTTGAGCTTTTGGCAGCATATGATAGTAGGGCCTCCTATCAAGCTAATGCCCAAGTGAGGCTCAGAATGTTGCTTCGGAAGCGAGAAAATTGCTCCGAAATAACGAAGATGCACGAGGACCCCCAGACGGCACCGCCCCCGCCCGCTCCAGTAATGCCCGCCCATCCGTGCGCGCCCAACCAATCAGCGTTCCGGAAAACCGGCCTGCGGGTTCTTCGAAACGGGGATTGTTGGGGTTTTCGCGGATTCTCGACTTCATATTCGGAATCAGGAACATGAGAAGGCCCGGAACGATCAAAACATGGAAGTCGAGAATCTGGGTGGACAGCGCCTTTTATAAATCAAATAAAATAAAAATAAAAAATAAAAACTCTTTAGGATGAAACATAAAAATGAGCTCAGGGTAATTTAGCTGAGAAGCAGCACCTCCGATACCTATAACTTCTGTAATGGTGCCAGGGGGTCCTTTGCTTGGTAAGTGGGCTTTTCACACTCTCACTATCTACATCTTCATCAAGTGGACAGCAAAGCGAGGTACAGTGCGTCATAGCAGTAGCTGCTTCCACAGTGTTTCTCCTATCAAGATTGCCTAGCATGTTCCGCTTTCATCATCACGCAGAAGTCCTAGTGTTTGAAATAGAGTTGACCTATACCATAACGGTGAGAGATTATAGACTTTTCATGAGATTCCATTACATGAAGGTTCAACATCACCGAGGAATTTCTAGAAAAAGATGTGTTTTAGCACACTAACTAGAACTGTTTTAGGAAGAGATTGGAGCGCCAAATTAATAGCGCTTTTACGAATTACGGGTATAAATAACACCTAGCATCAAACCGGTGTCCATAAGTACTTGCTGAAAGCGAGAAGTTTGGTCATTTGAAACAAAACCGGTTTTCTGTGTTTACTTACTGCTTAGTTCAGCCAAAAATCGAGCTAGTGATGAATGTGCAACTTTTGTTTTGTCTGCTTGAAAGTTCATGTATGTGAAGCCGTGCCATCGACCTACTGATCACGGGTATTCAGCAGTTTTATGTTGTTTACCACTAGTATCTATCGACCTTGAACAATAAAGAATATTGAGTTCGTTCTCAGAATTTCAGGCAACACTTGACCGAACACTGTTCGTTTTTGGCATTAAGTCTTTTCAAAAAAAAAACAAGTCGTCAGACCTTAAAAGGACGGTACCTTTAGATGTTTGTTTACTGCTTGACAAATGAGACTTTCTTCTGATTTGCTGATTTCAACATGAAGATTGTACAAATGATCTCTTGAATTCTTTCCCGCTCACCATGGGTTCAAATTTGTGTGTTTACCCACCGAAATACGCAGTCAATCATGGTCATTAGGCATGGGTTTGTAAATACGTGAACAAAGATAAATAAATGAGCTTGAAAAGAACACCATGAAGCTCCTTGGTAGCCTCAACGCTTATCCTTGCTGCCTCAGAATTTTTTTTTAGAGAAGAGGTTTTGTGTATTTTTCTGAGTGATAGAGCGCAGCAGTAATCCACAGAGCCCCCCCCCCCTCATGGAATTTTTGAAACTTTTAAATTGCTTATAAAAAAATAAGTTTGCAATTATATTTTAGATTGGTGCAAAAGTAATGTCCGCAGACTATGCGAGCAAGGTATGTGTATATAGAAATATACGAAAGGGACACCGTTTGATAGGATGATGCAAGCTTTACAAAATTATTGCCAAAGATTCGCCCAAATTGTTGGCCATGCAGAGTTTAAAGCCAACTTTGAGCATTTATCTTACAAGGAAACGATACTTGGTGACCCCGGGAGACGGTCAAGAGGCGCGATTTCTCTGGCTGTCACCAACTTAAAACTCCAGTTTAGTGCTATGCGAGTCTTCAAAAATTACCGGATAAAGTGCTTTAGCTTACTATCCGTCTGAGGTCACCATTTGCCGAGTTTCATGGTTTTTGCTATAAATTGAAATATTTACGAATTTGTTCTGAACTGCATTTTCATGAGTTTTTGACCTTCAAAATTGCTCTTTTGAATTTCTTCTAGAATATCAAGATTGAACAATTCATGCAACCATCTAATATATCTTCTTCCAAATTTCATATAATTTTAGAAAGTTGCAAAACACTTATTATTTGCTATTTGGTGTCCAGCTGGCAATCAAAATCGCGCCTCTTGACACACACCCGGTGACCCCGGCCATGTGGAATGCGATGTATACCATAAGGTGCATCTCAAAACGCTGATTCTAAATCTTTGCTCGAAATCTGCGAAACGATCATTTGAAGGCATTATGAACCTTGTTTCGTAGAAAATTTGCGTACTTTTAGGTAGATAAAATCACCCAATTTGATCTATTTCAACGTTTGAAGCTATTGAGGAGAATCTTGAAAGGTGTAGGGTTGTATTTATACCTATCTAAACAAAATTCAGCATTTGAAGAGGAAAGAAAATTTTTTATTAATGATTTTCACTCTTCGCCGTAGCGCAATTCACTTTTGAAAAAAACAATCATAACCAGGGTCAAGCAAGGGGTGTGGCACAGGATCGCTGGTTACGACCCCCCCCCCTGATTGCTGTCTTAATAAGAGCCCCCCCCCGAACTATATACCTAAGATGGCATTACCAAAGTTGAGAAAGAGGTTAGGCACAAGTCTTTCGAAACCCCTCCCCCTCCCATGAAAGCCCTCAAACGACCCCTTCTTCCTCCTCTTAACTTCTGGACCTCAAAGTGTGACATTTTGGAGGACACCATCTTTTTCTAGAGAGTTCTCAGATTTCTGAGAGCTGTATGCCCGATTTTCTGTGACTGCACTTTACAATCACACGTAATTTGACGGCTGATTTTGATCTGAATGGGCATATTGCAAGGGCCATAATTTTCTTATGGGTGGGGCGTTCAGCTCCAAATTTCCAATATAGCAAGAAGAAGCTATGTGCTCAATACTCATCCGGCAGCCGCAGCTTTTAAGGGGGTGTGCCGCACCCCATTAACTATATCAAAAAAACATTTTTAGCGGACAATATTTACATGAATCGATAGCCTAAACCTTGTAGATTCCATAGGACTGTTTGGAGCCTGATTTGTCTTCTTAGCTCTAAGTAATATTTGGTGAAAGCACAGCGATCAAAAGCGAAGAATGGGAAAAACGAGATTTTGGTTGGCTTCTAATTCCACAGTTTGCACGTCTTCTGAAGCGGGATTCCTGAGTTGGACACACCTTTGAAACAAAGTTAACCATGTTGGAATTTGACCATTTCATTTAGGTAGCCTAGTATCTTGAATCTTCAGAATTCGCTCACACTTTGTCTACAGGGGTTAATGGACATGCTAATCATGGATATGATACGAGTATCATGTTATCACTATTATCAGATACCCAACTACGACCCCCTCCCCTTTTGACTACTCAATACGACCCCCCAGGTGTGGCGTGCCGCACCCCACGCTTGACCCTGATCATAACTCAATCCAGGTTCTCGTTTCGCAGATATGGAAAACAGTATTCGAACCAGCATTAAAAGGCGCCTTTTTTGATATACAAATCATTATCAATGGCCGGGGTAACCAAGTATCGTTCCCTGCTTAGCCAAAAATTGCTTCATCATGAGAAATTCTAGGAAATTCCTAATTGGTTGTCACATAATAGTCACGTAGTAACACTCAAATATGAACATGCTGTCTTTTCCCTTAGCTGATCTGAGATAAAATGATAACCAAAACTGGCAATTCATCCTTAGCTCCGCCCCTTTTTTCTTATCTAGAGGCCGCATGCATTAAAATCCCCGCTGGGGAGGGAATCTCAGCTTGAAAGAAAGCTTTATATCCTGAAGCTCCAGATATCTGGATTTCACGCTGTCTACCTATCGGTAACTATTCCCACCATCCTTCACCATGGACATATTGAACGGAAGCGAGAAGCTAGACAAGCCGCATTTTCCAGCTTTTTGTATGATCCCCTGGTGATTCTCTAGGAAACGACCGTCTACTTTTTCAAGTCATTTTTCGTTCTTCAAAATTAACGAAAACATTCCAAAGTTGTATTGCTCATCTAATCCAACAGTGCTAAGCATGCTGCTGATAAGATCAAATGATGTTTTGGAGTCATGAAATTTGCGATGAACCACAGGTTGAAAGTTTTATCGAAAAATTCGATTTTTCAAAAACTCATTTGTTCTTGTCAGCAATATGCTTGGCACTGTTGAGTTAGATAATCAGTGCAACTTTGGAAAGTTTTCATTAAGTTTGAGGAAAGAAAATGACTTTAAAGAATGAACGATCGTCCCCAGGGGGACATCAGGGGAACACACAAAAAGCTAAAAATGCGGCTTGTACAGCTTCTTGCCCCTGTTCAATATGTTCATGGTGAAGGATAGTAGGAATACTTATGGATAGGTAGACAACGTGAAGTCCAGATATTTGGAGCTTCAGGATAGAAAGCTTTTCTTTTGAGCTGAGATCCCCTCCCCAGCGGGATGTTAATGCATGCGGCCCCTAGGTATAATGTAGTATAAAGCTTTGGAGTCTTGATTGCAGATTTTCAGCCTGGAAACTGCCCTGATTTTTGGAAGAATTCACTTTTAGCGTTACGAACTATAGGTTACGGGTATTACTCTTGCACTGACCTGACTTATTGTTTTATAACTCATTCATACCATTTACGAATTTTGACTATTCCTGGAAGCGTACCCTCCCCCTCCTCCGATTACTATTGGCAGCCGTCTCTTAAGTTGGCGAACAACCTACGAATACCTGAGGCTAGAGCCGTTTGGAGGAAATTGCAACCAATATTATACTCTCTGTTTGAAGTTATAGAGTGCAACAAAAGAGGCTGCGAGTGTACATAGTTCCTTGCCCGCATCACTTACAGATCGTATCAATCATATGATCTAGCGGGACAGTTCGTATAATGGAAACGACCTACAACCTGTCCCCCGATCCAACGCCGCTGTAATGCATCTGAGCGGGACAATGGCAGCTTCGAATTGTTGGCCGCTATCTTTACGAGGCGATGGCAGAAGTACGGTCAACTCGAATTCGTTTTATTAGCCCTTTCGTCAATAAAAGTAAAGTTATTTTTTAAGAAAAGCGATAGATAAGATTTTAGGAATGAGGCTGCTAAATAGGCTCATTGCGTTGATTTCCAAATTCAACTACTTAGCACGAGTAGGGGTCATTTATCATTTCTCCAAGTTTTTTTCTTTTTCCCGCCGAGCTTGAATCGACAGCAAATTTCACAAAAAAGCATTAGAAAACATATGGAATGCACCCAAAGCAGCAACGTTCCCTCTTTATAGTAAGATTGAAATTGAAGCTTTATACGGCAAAGACTGCGGAACTTTTCAATGTGTCATTTTTACATAATCTCGAATTCCTCCAATTTCTTGAAATTCTTCTATTGTTAAACAACCAGCAAAGAATATCCGGATAAAGCATATCCCACGCTTCTAGTTGCATAATCTTGGAATTCCAGTACTTCCATCACTTCCAACCCTATGTCAAAGGTCTGACTTTTGATGATATTCGCGTGAAAAGTAAAGTTGGACCTGAAGAATCCGAACAATACCGGCATTTTGCAATAAATCATTAGATATCGTCGCCAGCAAAACCATGATGATTTTACATAGCCCAAATAACATTAGGATGCTAATATTATCAACTGCGAAACTAACCCTTTGCAAATTTTCAACTCAGTATAAACAACAGTAGTGAGATCGCATGCTTGGTACTTTCTGGAGACGTAGTAGCTCGAAGACAAAAATAAATCGTTGAAGTCGACATTTAGTCGACATTAGGTCTTGCATACTTGACCTTTTGAGTTAATGGGTAAACATGGGCATTTGCACCAATCCGTGATTTATTGCAGAGTTTTAACATATCAGCAAGGCGGTCACTGTGCCCGTAATACGAGGTACAAAGAGAGTTGAATGTTTAGAATAATGTTTTGTCATGAACAGAAGCTAGTGCTGTTGGATTATCTCATAGGTTTTTTCAAGTTAGCGAAGCTGCTAATTAGCTGACTTGTAGAGCTTAAGTTGATGTTTAGCTAACAAGGAATGGTCAGAAATCGAAGTGGCTAATCCAGACATGCTGCATACCATTAGATGCAGCATCAAACGCTGACTTCGAATCTGTATTTCTTATCTGCTTAGCGCCTTTGTGGACGGAGTTATGAATCATTAAAAGCCGTTATCCTGCTAAGAAATCATGCATGCAAAGCGCAAATTCAACAGTACTGAGCCATGTTCTGCTTAACGCTGTGCCAGAACATGCAACTGGTTTACTTTATATCTTGAAGCCTAGAGGTAAGCTAAAAGTGCAACAATGTGCTGAATTCCGCAAATTTTATGTGCGATTTTTCCGCAATAAAACCGCTCATAACTTCGTCCACAAAGGCGATAAGCAGATAACGAATACGGATTTGAAGTCGGCGTTAAATGCTGCGAATAGTGGGCAGCTTGCCTGGATTGGCCACTTCGACTTCTGATCATTCCCTTGTAAGCAAGCTCTGTTGATCAGACAAACTCATGAATCGTTATATGCTCAAGTTTCAAGCTAAAATAGTACATATAAGAAATGTTTTCTTTTTGAGACGAATCTGGTCATACGCCCAAAGATATAATGTCTATAAATTCCCACATGGTTCCCATATACTAGTGGCCTGTGGAAGCAAAAACGCACTTGCTGGAATTTTTATTCGAAAATTTATAAAAGGAAGGTAGAAAATTTGCCATTCCGAGTAGCCTACGAATAAAGGTTGAAACTAGGTTTAGGCCTGAGCTTTGTGAAATTGTTCGCACTAATTCGCTTAGACTTACCTAAGGCAGTCATGACGAAGGTCCTTGAAATCATTTTTTAGCTTTAAAAATTTGCATTAATTGCTACCCGAATGTCGTGAAATATTGTGTATATAGTGTGAATCGTAAGACTTTATTTGATGTATGTATGAATGGTAGAAATAATTTACATGTTGTCAGGAGTTTAATTTTCTAAAAATTGCAAGGTTGTTTTTCGACGTTGAAGAGAAGTTGTGTTTATGTCAGACGAGCGGTAAATTTGACTAGTGAGAAATCAACAGCAGCCGCGGGGACCACCAAAACCTGCAAAAAAGTACTTTTGGATTGATTTAAAGTTGAATCTCCACAAAAACTCATCAGACACTACATGCTCGTGCACTGAAGGTTGCTATTATGTATCATGCAAGAAATTGCGAAAGGTAAGGCAACGGGTTCGAGGTTAGGATATTTGGAAGGAACTAGCAGTCTACGAAACATCAGTGTCATAGGTGTGGAGCAAGGGAAGAACATGCAAAGCCATACTGTCGTGAAGAACACTTTCATAGAAACGTGGACCATGCCCGGGGTATGCGGGTGGAAAATACGGACCTCCTCCAATCGTAGCACCCCCTCCAATTCCAGGGTAATCTGGTCTTGCACCGCTTCCAATACCACCTCCCTGAACAATTAGAGTTGAATTTCTCTATCTTTTACTGTCAAGAACTGACCTGAGGATAGTATGGGTCAGGAGTTGCACCTCCTCCGATTGGTGTAGGATCTTCGGGTCTCACGCCACCTCCAATTCCACTTCCACCCTATGAAATGTTAGTAAACCATGAGAGAAAGCCAAAATAAAATTGGCTGAAAAAACTACGTCATATGGTGAGTAGCCCTCCGGTCGCGCCCCACCGCCAATTCCACTTCCACCCTAAGAAATGTTGGTAAACCATGAGAGAAAGCCAAAAAAAAAGTTGGCTTAAAAAACTACGTCATATGGTGAGTAGCCCTCCGGTCGCGCCCCACCGCCAATTCCAATCTCAGGTTGGACTCCACCACCGATCCCAGGACCCTAAACAGATTATATGGATTTCACTAAAGCAGATCAAATTTCTGGGAAACTGCAGGGCCGAACGCGGTCAAAAAAGACTAGTTAAGTCGCCTGACCACTTTGCTGCGCCTATGATCTTTCTTTACGACACTTGGTTCTTCGATCCTTATACAATATAATTATGAATCGAACCCACCTGTGGATACGCTCCTCCTCCGATTCCTTGGTTTGAAAACATATTCCTTTGGTTTGACACGAATTTAAGCTGAAGAAAGTTTGTGTTTGAAATTTTCCGACCTATTCAAGTATATATAAAGAGGCAGGCCGTGGGCGTTGAGGAAAGCAATAAAAAAGATGGCAAAAAGTGACAGAAAAGGTGATATCAAGGGCGGGTCGGAATGAGTCAACAAGACAAATGCGGTGTCTGGGTGAGGAAAGCCGAAATCGATGAAAGGAAGAGCATTTATTTAGACAACATCGAAGCAAAGGTAGTTGTCAAAAATGTCGTGTTTTACTGCTATGCAGACGGAGATAAGAGCTTATCTGTAACAATGAGTCAGAACGGTTAGGAAAACTGAGGAGAAGGTCGAAGTTTTGTCACAAGGCTAAGTAAAAAAATTTCCGTCCTTTCCCTTTCTTGTGAGTCATGCAAATTTGCATTTTTGTACATAGCATTAAATGAACCATAGAAAGAGCCTCTCCCACCTTAGGTAGATACACATCCGAAAGGCGCAAGATTCTAGAAGTGAAAAGTTGCTTTAAAGTCAGAGGCGAATACCTATGACGCAAAGTCAACTGTGCTCACACTAGAATAGATCAACGACTGATTTATACAAACTGCTTTATGCTAAATATATAGTTGTTTTGGATTCAGAGAAACTTAATTCGTACCTGTTTCGCAGAATGTGCTGACTATGAAATTTACCTTTGCTCCGAAAGTATTCTTTGCTCAAAGGGCTGCGATTATCTAGAGCAAACAAAGCAATGCCATCGTTGAAATGATTGATAAGCCGCCATCTGCGGTTTTTCATGACTTGCGTGCAGCATTCGTCGCATTCTCTGTTTTCATCGAAACTTAACATCCATAGTCAGGACACTGTGTAGAGATACTGAGGTTTAGGGGCTGTATTTAGGGTGCTTACTTTGATGGGAAGAGGGGGGGTTAGATTTCAATGGGATACAGAAGTCGAGTCGGATACCCACGGGGGTAGGCTCTAGAGGCTCTTGAAAGTCTTCGGAGCTCAGAGCGTGTCTGATAGAACTGAGACAGAATTTGTTATTTTAGAGGAGAAGCTAGTTCGACTGGTTAGACGGTCTCAAAATTACCTAGACGAGATTGCTCACTCTTGCAATTCTGAAGCTTTATACTATGCGTTAGTGTTTTGATGAACAAAATTCTGTGTTTATTGAATCAGCATAACGCAGAGAATTTGGATGAAGGCACGAAGGGTTGAATCAAGAGGGCAAACCACATCTTTGAGCAGCAAGTTGCACGACTGATGCACGAATCAAGCGCAGTTTATTTGCGCAGACTGCAAAAACCTAGATGATGTGTCTGCGCTTTGGTCGTAGGTTTCTGAACTGGAAAAAAATGGAGACTGAGTTCTTCTACAGTTCAAGCGTGAACAAACACAAGCCCATGGTACGCGTTTGGCATTTAGTAATGTAGAATTTTGATAATCGAGCTCCGTGTGGGAGGAGTAAAGTAAGGAGATTTCATTCGCCTTGACACCTGCACAACGTTTCCAATCTCTAGAAGTAAAGGCGTCTCAACCAAGTTGAAAAATTTGACTATTTACAACAGAACATCGGCGATATCTGTTCTTTATGGCTGGCATTTATTACTAAGGTTCAAGAAGGAAAACGGATTGCGTAACTTTCAGAGCTAAAAGGAGGGAGACTTGATTACAAACTGCAAAGAGTCACTCTAGTGTTAGTACACTACTTAGTGCCAAGATAGCGCAATCGAAACAGTGCTTAGATATATTAGGAATTCACATTTGCTCTCTATAGGTCACATCATCCACTGATATACGTTTAAGTTCGTAACTGAGGTATACTATATTAGGTTGCCCAAAAGTTGTTTTTCATTTTTGAAATTGTAACTTTGCGTTATCTCAACTAATTTGCTTCCTTGTAATTTTACTAGAAAAAATAAGTCTTTCGCTTTCAAACGCTCTTAAAGCTTCTACTACACATTTTAAGACTTAGGGAAAGAAATAATAACTATGATCATTTCAACTTATGCCGCCCCCTCCCCTCTTTAACGCTGCAGAACAATCTGAAATTGTCAATATATATGTTCTACGATCTAGCCTTCGCAGCTACGAAAAGTTTGGGTTGTTTGGACGTGTCTGTGAATAGTTATGATTTTCGAGAAAAGTGACAAATTATTTAATTTTTAGGTTTTTGCAGTAAACTCGAAATTCGTAACTTCTCATAGAGGCGTTCGAACAGGACAAACTTCTCACAGTTGCAAAAGAGTAGGTCAAAAAATCTGTGTTGACAATTTCAGATTTTTCTGCAGCGTTCCAGATTTTTGGCGACCAAGCTAAAATTACTAAAGCTTATTTGATTCATCTGACTTAGCGGCTGAAAGGCGGGGCTGATCTAATTATTATGGTAATGCTAGGTAATGATCGGAAAGCACGCGCGCGGGAGAGACGCAGACTGCGTTGCGGGCGGGAACGGCCTTAGTTAGGTCACAAAGCCCCGCCTTCCAGCCGCCGATCCTGTTGAATCAAATGTTATAAAGTCCTCTTTTTCTATTTTTATCTCTGCAGTCAATGTGTGGTAGAAGCTCAAACAGTATGTGGAAGCAAAAGAACTACTCTTTCTAACAAAATTATAATAAATCCGTAGAGGTAGCGCAAAGCTTTCGGAACAATTTAATACTCGTCTTGAGTGATATACGCGATAATGAGAGTGTTGAAACAGCTCTCCATAGATAGGGCATGGTTTTCAGTATGGCGCAGAGTCCTACAGAAAGCAGTTGTTTCGAAGAGAGAGTGTTTGAAAGCGTGTGTGTCAGTGTCAGTTTTGACTTGCGCGGCTAGCAAAGCCCGCTTCCAAACAAAAATAATCAGCTATAAATTTAGCATTGTCGGACTCATCGTAAGGTTGTATCTGGGGAAGCTTCTGTTCGATACCTGAGAAACATCACAGCACCTTCTGTCGCCATCGCCTCTGACAGATGCTGGGCGAAATATACCCACTCATTTATTTACTTTACATAATTAGAGTTAAAGGCACCGTCCACCAAGATTTTCGACTTCCATGTTTTTGTCGTTTCAGGGCCTTCCCATGTCCCTGATTCCGAATATGAAGTAGAGAATGCGCAGAAAACCCCAACAATCCCCGTTACGGAGAACTCACAGGCCGGCTTCCCGGAACGGTGATTGGATGGGCGCGCACAAATAGGCGGGCATGGATGGGGGAGGGCGGGCATGGATGAGGGTCCTCGTGCATCTCCGCTATTCTGAAGCGATTTTCTCGCTTCCGAAGCGGCATTTTGTGCCGCGACTTGAGCACTAGATTGATAGAGGGATCTACTATTATATGCTGCCAAAAGCTCAACATTCTCAACTTAGGGTGGACGGTGCCTTTAAGGGCCGGGCATACTTCACGCGATTTCAGCCGCGACGCGACTTGGCAACATTTCAGTTGTCCATAACTCACTATAAGCACATTTCAAATGTGCAGAAGATAGGGCATTTTATCAATCCGTGTAAGTCATACACACAATGCATGCGCAGTTTGTTAGTATCGGGTCTGAAGACTTCTGGCGAATTGCCAAATCGCGTCGCGATCGAAATGCGTGAAGTATGCCCGGCCCTTTAGCATCTAGAACTGACACTGCGAAACGCTTATCGTTGTCCCTACTCGACATTTCTGCATAATCCGCTTCCCGCCAAACTGGCATTGTTGATAATGTTTTATTCCAAAACTAGCAACGTCAAAGGACTTCTATATACAGAATGCAGACTAGAAGAATGTAAAGTCAAAACACAATAAGGTGGGAAATGAAAAGGAAGAAAAACTATGTGTGTGACTCGAAGTAACAAGAATAAATGCTTCTATGCATGCGGATCCGGGAGAGAGGGTGCAGTTGAGTATCTTCACCGCCCATCAGTGGTTTTGTGTTCTAAAAAAAAAGTCATGAGATAGTGAGAAGCGAAATTTCGAAAAGTGTAAAGTACAACGTACAGTCTTCTGCGTAAGGATCATAAGTGCGAAGTTCTTCATCTGGCTTCATTCTAGGATCTCTGTCCAAAGGAGGTGGACCTTGATTACTTCTATATGAAGGCTAAAAGACTGATGCAATAATGATTTGATTCGTGTATGCTTGCATGAATTTTTGAATTACCTGTGAGAATCCCACATCACGGTAAGGTGGAGCTTCGGCGGGTCGTGCACCCATGCCAATTCTGACCTGCTCATATCCGCTGCTCGGGTAATTCGACGAGGGATTGTAACCGGGTCGTGTGTTCGAGCCATATCCACCCTGTCCATAACCATTGTTGGGATAATTTGGTGAACCATAGTCAGGTCTTGCGCCAGTGCCAATGCCCCCTTGTCCGCTGCTGGGATAGGATGGGCCATAGTCCGGCCGTGCTCCACTACCAATTCCACCTTGTCCCATTCCACTGCCCGGATAAGGGGGATTATACTGCGCTCCCGAACCGATTCCTCCTGGTCTGTTCGAATAAGCTGGGTTGTCGGGCATACGCGTATTTGATCCGAGTCCTCCTTGTCCCTGGAGTAGAAACGGTCATTTTCAAGACTTCAAGGGTAAATCACAAATTTTACCGAAGAGTACTCAGGTCGCACTCCAGTGCCAATTTCCTGAAGAAATAACATTGAAATTCTAACATCTATTCAAAGAAGGACGTACGTGCTCATATGGTCCTCTACCGTAACCAGCATTACCGGCGGAACCAATACCCGAACCTTGATTTGGATTCGGATACCTCTCTCCGGCAGAGCCTATTTGTGGGTCTGGAACTTCAATACTTTTCTTGACGTACATAAGAGTGTAGCGTTTACTTCGATTAAATTGGTATGAAGGATAATTTTCACTCATTGGACGATTGTTGTCTTGTCGGTATGAGCCAGCGCTGCCACCATAATTCAAAGTTGGTATTTCGCCAGACATTCTGAAAATGTGGACTAAAGTCATAAAATACATAATGGTCATAGTCGATAATTGCGAGTGTAGAACGACATGAGGGTAATGGAAAAAATGAACATCAACAGAACTTCAGATATTCTTTAGGGAGCATCGCTGCCAGGATTAGTGAAATTAGTGGAGGAACGAGGGAAGGTGCGCGAAGAATGCGTCGTAATGAATTTGCTTTGTTCTTTACTTGTGCAAAATACAAATAATTTTTTTTGAAGTCAAGAAAAGTCAGCTTTGTAAAAAAAATTTTCGGGGAGTTGGGTGAAGCCATGACTCTTTACTCAAAAATGTTTTTGTTAAGCCCTCCTCCCGCCTCCCCCCTCTCCCCTCCCCCCCTCCTTTTATCAAAAACTTTTTAGGGATTGCTACGGGTAGAATAATCCGCTTTAATTGCACAAATTCACCAAATAACATTCACAGGCACATCGAAACTTCAAAAGTCCACATGGGAAGTGACGACTTCGAATGACGTTTGCGACGGGCATGCGAACTAAAAATGAAGACCCTCCCAATAATTAGAATTCAAACATTTGATTGTCAGCTTCTGCGCTAATCAGTCTCATCCATGCTGATGCCAGATTTAGGCCTCGCCCAGAGTTCACGCGATTTCATCGTCGCGATTGATCGCGACAAGACAATTGTAACAATATCATTGCATTCCGATCTTCTTGCCTTTCGGTCGTGATAGTTGCCCAACACGACTAATCGTGACTAACTATCACAACCAAAATACAAGAAGATTCGCATGCAATGAACTCGTAACACTTGTTTTGTAGCGATTGAATCGCGACGATCAAATCGCGTGAACTCTGTCCGAGGCCTTAGTCGATTGTATCAGCGAAACGATGTGATGGGTAGGCGTGACAAAGAAAGGAGCTAGTGATAACCGAGCAAGTAAAGGAATGTATGTCAGTCGTAAAAGTTGTATTTATGAAGCCCATGGTCTCTTGACAATGTTGGAGTTGATAACAGAAAGCAATTGATTGTTTTGCGATTAGTATTATACCGCAGCAAACATTTGACACTTGTTGTGAACATTAGTGTTTTGATTGGCTGCCATATTCTCAATAATAGTTTGCCTGCAGAAAGCAAACATTAGTCTAAGAGACATTGATTTTCGATTCGTTACAACCCAACGTAATATCTCTGCAAAATGAGATAAGTACTATAGACATGAGCGAGTGAAAAGAGAACTGCACCTCAATGAGATTGAACCGAGACTGATAAGAAAGGCAGGAAGGCATGAACATAATTGTTGGAAAAGTCTTAAAGGCAGTCTTAAATAAGGCAACACGAGGTGTCGATATCAGAAGGATGATTCATGCTCACGTATTGTTTACTTTGCGATGATGCAGATCATTGGCAAATAGCGCCCATAGAAATCGATGCAAAAACGACTCTGCTTGAGAGATGGGACAACGGATTCCATACATAGAAAATTGTGAGGGATTTACGGAAATCCAGCAGTCTTGAATTTCGTCTCATCAAGTGGCTGACACTGGCTTTCCAAAGAGAGTTATATTTTATAATGAAAATGGCAAAAAAGAATTTTTCACTAGTAATTTTGTAACCTGTCGCAGTCTGCGTCTCTCCCGCGCGCGTGCTCTCTGATCATTATCTAGCTTAATTAGGTCACGAAGTCCCGCTTTCCAGCCGCCAAGCCAGTTGAATCAGAGGGTAACCGGTAAGCACTGATTGGAGCGGGGGCGGGGAAATACCTCATCACTCCGGAAATAGCGAAATTGGAAGATTTTTAGAGGATCTTTAGATGACTCAGAAAGCTTGCACGTTATCATATGCGTGGGATTCTTTTGAGAAATTTTGGGGATTCTCCGAAATTTCAGACTCAAAACCTGCAAAGAATTGGCGAGTAATCCCAAAACTTTATAGCCCGGAGAGTTTTTGCTGCAATTTGCCTTAAAAAAATTTTTGGGACCTCCGACAGCGAAAATCCAATCAAAAACTTACACAGATGATGGAGAAACCCAAAATCTCTGTGCAAAAGATCGATAGAATCGATACCGATCGATAAAGAATCCCCCTCCCCCGCCCACTCCGAAGCCTATGTGTGCAAAGTTTGGCTCAAATCGATTCAAAAATAAAATTTTCTATTTGGAACTACGACAGACAGACACAAAGACAGACAAACGGACATTCAGCTTTATTAATACAAATTTTATATGTAAGCGTCCTCCGATTTTCACCACATACTAGGGTTCATGCGCATGCTCAGACGGTCGTTATACTTCGTTTTTCTGAGATTCTTTAGAATAAATAACACGAACATGACTTTATACAGCGCATGACATACGCGAAATTGCTACCTGATTCAAATGCCGATTGAATCGTCTTTGCTGGGTTGTGCTTCCGATGTTAACAAAAAATCACCGCCTAATCTTCTCAAACAGATCAAGAGGACAACACTATAAAAAATAGCGATAACGCAACGCCGGAAGGAGGCACATAAAACTATAAAACGTAATAAACAGACATTAAGTTTTTCTGGCATTTCAGCAGTTCACGTGGTATGCTGATTCAGCACTCGAACGAAACTGGAACAAGTCAGCACGATGGTCTATTTTCTTGTCGAAGGAAAAGAACGCGTGTCTATAGTTATTATATAGAGATATCATCACTATTTGGCGATGTTTCGATCTGCACGCAAGAACTATTTACGGTAAGTTTCGATCGGCACTTACACGACTAGAACTCGATGTTTTGGAGAATCAAAAAACCAAGAGTACAGGCCTGCCACTAGATCAGAAAGTTGTTTGCAGTATACTGCTAATGACTCTCCAAAACTGGTGTACGAGCTAGTTCTTGAATAAAGTGCGGAAAATACTCGAGTGAAAGGTATACGGACATCTTCTCGATTTAGCTGGTGCGGATACCACTGATCAGTTAAGCTAAATCCGAGAAGAGAACTTACTTGCATATACACTTGTACTCCTAGCATTCCATACCTGTTTAGATTTACCTTCGCCACACCATAGCCTAATTAAACTTCCATTCTAATAATAAGCTCCATCGTCTCTGCTCCAACCCTTAAATGACTTTCAGTACGCCCTTTTTTTTGCCTTCTCTTTTCTCTAATATCGTTAACGGCAGTTCAAAAGGCATGATTCTATCAAACTTCTAAAGTAATTCTTTAGAACAGAAAAAGTAGTGCATCTATTGGTGCTGCAAAATTATAGACCTAAAAATAATACCAGTCGTTTTTAACATTTGTGGAAATGTCAGCTGAATTTATGGATAAGTGTACAGCACCACTGGAAAAAATAAGTCAAGGAAAATCGGTTATCGAATTTTGTTTTTGCTCAAAAAAAATTTTGATAACGACAACGCAGGAAAGCGAGGCCAGACATTTTTGTGAAATTTCCGAAAAATCAAGCTTCAGAAAACAAACTGGAATGCAAAGTGCACAAATGGTAGTCAAACATACGATTTGGATATACCAAACCATTTGCATGGCGATAAATAGTCAAATTCAAGCGATTGGACTATCAAAATTGACCCTTCGTGTGCAAGTGCTTAGACATTTTCACATTCTTGGCTACAGAAATCCCCCAATACCAGGTCACGATTGTGTTTCTTCATGTGGCCAAAGGGGTATGTGAATCAACTAAATTAGTTATCTGAACTTACTACAGCTTAGCAATATTAGGTCATAACTGGCTTTTGTGTGATATTTATATTTTTTGTGATATGATAGTAGAGTTTATATTAATAAAGGAGCCATGCTTGCCAAAATGGAATTAGTAGCCAACCAATAATTTGTGAACAGAATTAATCTAGAGTAAAGGCAGCAGCTCGGCAGAATTTCGTTTTCCAGTTTTCTTTTTGGAGCCTTCTCGCCATGAGGAACCCATATTTGGGCTTCTTAACGCATGAAAATGGCAAAATTGCACTTTTTTCGAGGCTTTTTAGGTCCGCATTCAGTGAAAATACGCCGGAAAAAGCCGCGCCCCGCCTTTTTTGTTACGAGCCCCGCCTACTTCTCCACTAAAGGCTGACCTGAAAAGCTTCGGAAAAGGCTTATTTTCGCCATACTCATGCGCCGAAAAGCCTAGATGTGGGTTCCTCATGGCGAGAAGGCTCCGAATGGGTAAAAAAAACTGGAAAGCGAAATTCTGCCGGGACGCTGCTCTTTGTATCCTAACTTAGCAACTGCCTTGTAAGGGTTTGATCTTTGCGAGCTCCTTTCAGGACCATGGAAGAATCCAAGCTGTGTATCTCTGACGCTTCAGAGGTGTAGAACAAGCTAAAACAACCGAGGAGTCATCGTGGTCCCCCCTCCCCCCCCCCCGCCTTCCCCACTCCATTCCGTGCCTTTGAAAATAGTGAGTAGTCATCGTGGTCCCCCTCCCCCCTCCCCCCCCCCCCCCGCCTTCCCTACTCCACCCCGTGTCTTTGAAAATAGTGTCTTTTGACAGTTAATTCCCAAGACTCTTCAATACATACAGATTCAAAATGTTGTCCAACCTAGGCTCCTCTACTAGGCTCCTCTATGTCAAGGATTTCTTTGATCCATATGAACGGTTTCGAACGATTTTGGCCTTACGCGTTCAATCTTTTGACCTTAAAACTTGATAACTCGACATCCAGAGTCGCACAGAGGTGAAGAAGATGATTTGGAATTAGCGTCTGATTTTCTACAAAATGAGTGAGAGCCCACCTGGAAAGGCCACTTTGACCAAAAATATCTTCCTTGTCATAAAGTTTTTCATGGATTAATCACCAAAATTCAGGTTGACAAAATTGATTTTAGTCGAGTTGGCCATTTTAAGTTTGATGTTATTTGTAATTCGCAAGAAACGTTGACTGCAAACCTGTTTTTCCCTGAACACCCTCCTCTGAAGGTAAGATAGAATAAAATGAAACATTACAATTTCTCCTTACACTATTTGCACTTATTCATCGTTGGCAGGTTCAGAGCTTCAAAAAACTGCAATAAATTTATATTAGTGTTTGCAAATGGCTTTTCCTATACTAACTTTTTATAGTAATTTTCCAGCTCTCTGTCTCGAAGCCACTGTCCAAGCAAATATGGGTATTTTTGTTTCTACAAAAATATTGATCGAGAGGCCTCATTTCTTATGGTTAAAAGTGCGCTGAAAATTTGTGAAGCAAAAAATTTTCATAAAGGAAGCTTGTTTAGTCAAAGTGGGGCTTTTTAAATGGGATGTATACCATAATGAAGGGCATAAAACGTTGATTTTAAACCTGCCTTCCTTATCTGCGGAATAAAGGGGTTTTCGGAGCAAAAAACTGAATGTGCATTTTGGACTAGAATGAGTTGCTAAAATCTTACTAGCCCTCAATAATGCAACCAAGTGTGAAATAATTTTCATTTTAGATTATTTTTGAATATAGTGCTCTGATGATTAACGCTGCCTTATTGAAGAGCTAGAAAAAGCATTACGACTACTTCTGTCCTATTTGCACAATCAATTTTTTGCCCCATTAAGAGCTCATAACTCCTCGTCCATAGATGTCCTGCAGATGAAAAATCAGATTTGGACTCAGCATTTTATTCACTTGAATATGGTATAGATCCCATCTAAAAAGGCCACGTCGACTAAACAAGCTTCCCTTGTCAGAAGGCTGGCCAAGTCTTTCATTTAGATGCGTTCTTGTAGCAATCCCACCCCCCCCCCCCTAGAGAAAATTCTGTGGCGCCCCTCTCCAGAGAAGAAAAAGGATCCTTCACTTCTTCGCTGCTTATGATCGAAGAGTATTGATTGCAAAATCTAAATCGTTAATTGCCAACAAATCTCAAATTTTTTACAATTACTACGATTTAATGCTCCCAATCTCCTTAAGAGGAATAGCGCCTCAGTCAAATTTTGGAATTTTTTGACCACCATCAAATTCTTTTCCAATCACCGGCTACTCATTTTATCCGTTCTTCAATTTTTTTGTTAATTCACTACAGCTGTAATTAGCCCAAGAGTCAACAAAATCTCTTAAACTTTCGCCATTCTTTGCTCCTCTATCCCAATTTCTGGAATATGGCAAACGAATTACGAGCTGATAATCTAATTAGAAAGCCTACACATACCGTATATTATAAAAGACGGAATTCTCGTTATTGGTGTGCAAATGCACAAACGCTTTGGAAGCGACGGCTAGCAGTCAATATCTCGCGAACAGATGTTTTCTTGTTTCCTTTTTGCGTTAAACTGTCTTTATCTTGATATCTCCCACATACTATAGGTACTTGTTTCTCCCTTGTGATAAGATGTCCTTCCCGGAACACGCATTTCCGTTACTCATGGTCGAAATTCAACGTTTTGCCATGTTTCTCACTGTTTCGTGTTTTATTTATCTTTGATTTGGTAGTATCGTAAAGACATAGTGGTTTCTCACGGTGTTTGAACCAGTGCTGTTCATCTAAAGTGTGAATGTAAAATTTTATTTATATTTTTTAGAGTTTCGACGATAACTCGATGCTCCGCATGTTCATTTCTTGTCGCTGGGTCTTGTGCTGCTGTTTGAATTTTTTTCACTTTACACTTGCAGGAGCATTTGGTGGATATGGCTTTCTCAACATAACTGCTTATGACCCAAAGGAACAGGAACAATAGACGTAAAAGCGATCCGGCATTGCCATTTCGCCCCACGCAGGAAAAAGTGTAAGTATCGAAGTTACCCGGAACTTTGGCATTTCTTGGAACTGCGTTGTTTAGGACGGTGGCGGCGGAGCTACCATGGGGTCTTCCCAAGGTTGTACCCATCGTAGCGTTGGACTACTCCTTGCCAATAGGTTCCTTTGCTGGACAGTCGGTTCTCATGGACTTGTTCACTCTCTTTGAGAGGAAGCTACAAAGCGTAGCTGAAGAGCCTGTGGCAAGTTTTACATTTGCAACATATTTTCGCTTTTTATTTGTTTCGCTCTGATAGTTCTTTTGGATGTTCCACTCTATACAACTCAGAATGCGAATTTTTCCTCCAAACTTGCGCATGGGCCATTTGACATGTCGATTGGGAGATGAGGATTTTCTGTGGTAGGAGTTTTTGTGGGGTAGTACCGTCTCCGCCAGCCAAACTCACTAAATTTGGGAGCACAGATGTAGTCGGACATCTCTTCTACATAGGGGGATGGTTGGAATATAGTTAGGAGTGGCAGCTTACCGTTCTCCATACAGGTCTAGTATAGTATTGTTGCCACTCGGGTGGCGCTTAATCTTGGCTCCTTTCCTTCAAAGTCATCCGTTTTGTAATCCGAGCGATCTCAAATAACTACTTGACATTCCTTGTTATACAAGTAGAGATTGTGTTTTTTTTTCAAATCATCATTTTTGCTTTTATGTGATTTCTTTTTAAGCGACCACTTCACTTGCTTCAGGAGAAACTTCTGAATAAGTCACTGCAGCGCGGTGGTGATCCGTACTTTGACAACTTATGTCGCACACTACACGGGATTAGCGAGCTTTGCTTACCATCTGTTGTCAACGCTTTAATATCATGGCATCAGCGAATGGAACTGAAGATCAACGAAAGCATCAATCCAGGGTTGGTCATTTTTCTAACTTCTGGGTTTTGTTTCACTCTTGATTGTGATGTCTTTCGATTTTTTTTGATTTAGTGCTGATAATCGTGTGCTTGTGAAGAAACTACTTGCTGTCAACTATTTGTTTTGCATAGTTCTCATAGAAATTCTCCCACAGGTCCGTATTTTCTGTTTCTGTCTCTTGAATATTTCATCTAAAATAGTTTTTTTCCAGGTCGAGTTCCATCTTAGTGCCTGTGAACAACAGGTAAAATACCTGCTTGACAGTTCTTTTCAACAAGTGCAATATAAGGATCCGTAAGTTGCAGAGGATCACTTGATTTGCTTGCCTCTCGTCTACTTATAACGATTTGCATCCATAATATTTAGGACTACACTAGGCGTCAACAATACTAACAGTCTCGTCGTAGCTGAAACTTATGCAGAGGTTATTGGTGTCTTGTCAGAAACTCATTTCACTCAGATTCACAAGTATGAACTCTTTTTGTCTGTATTTTTTTCACTGTTTTTAAATAGAAAGGGTTTTAGGCAATTCATGGCAATACTCACTGATCTGAAGAAGGACAGTTTACCAACTGTCAGCCAAAACATGATCTCTCTTTTGATGGCTATGAAGTTTGTAAAGATTAAGGTGAGTTCAAATGTTTGAGTTTATAATTGCGGTCGTATCTGAATAATAAGTGCTGGCAACCTTCTTGTCTAATTGACCCCTGCACCAATACTTGTTGCAGACAAATCAAGTGGAAGATTTTGAAATGGGGATTAAGTTTCTAGACGACTTGGGTTCATTCCTGTTGGAGGTGAAAGATAAGGTCAGTCTAATAAGTCTAGCTGAACTCACAGCTGTTCTTTTCTCTTACTGTGACATTCAGGATGTCAAGCACGCTGTTGCTGGCCTTTTAGTGGAGATTCTTCTTCCCGTGGCAGCGGTGATCTTCCATTATCTTATAATAGTGATTGTCATCGCGATAAGATGTGTGCTTTCAGCAGATCAAACGTGAGACCAACATCCCTGCTTTGATCACTTTTGTTGGCAAACTATATGGCCCTACCAATGAATTAGCGTCAAAAAAGCAACATAAACTGGTATACTGTTTCTATCTAAAGTAATGACAAATGTTCATATATGTTCATTCTAGGCTGCATATCCACTCCTAACTTGCTTGCTGTGTGTAAGCCAGCGTCAATTTTTCTTGTCTAACTGGGTTCCGTTCCTCAACAATGCTCTGGCGAACCTGAAGAATAGGGATTCTAGGATTTCCCGCGTGGCATTGGAATCTCTTTATAGATTGTTGTGGTATGGTTTTACTGACGAAAGTATATAATTTCCATAGTAGACTGTAAGGGTGGAAATGAAGATTTGTCCCAGCTTTTGCTTCTAAAAAAGATAACAATTTGTTATTAGTTGTTAATTATTCAGTTATTTGTTAATTAGCTAGTGAAATCAGCCTGACTGAGACAAAGTAAACTGTAGCTGCTTCAGGGTTTATATGATCCGCAACAACTGTGACGGAAATTCTGCTACTCGAACACGACTAGAATCTATCTGCGGGAGCCTTTTTCCAAAAGGCAATCGTGGCATCGTACCTCGAGATGCACCGTTGAATATTTTTGTCAAAATAATTCACTTTATCGCTCAGCAGAAGTTGGACTTTGCTTTTAAGGTAAGATGAAAGCCTTGAGTGCTTTATGTTAGACTGTATAATGGTACGTTTAGGACGTTATCTTCGATCTTCTTTCCTGTAATCGCACTCAGAGGTCTCTCTATCCGGAGAGAATGAATATCGGTATACGCGCGCTGATGGTGATCGCTGATGGGCTTCAACAAAAGGATGAACCTCCTGCGATGCCTAAGTCTATGGGTAGGACTTGAAGAATTTGGCATTCCACCGTGTTTGTAAAAAATTTGGTGAAAACGTACATTTGCGCGAAATGTGGTTACTTGCTTGTTGCCCTCATCGGTATGGTTGCAGGTCCATCAGCCAGTGGAACAATGCAGCGTTTGAAGAAGAAGACTTACATCACACGACCCTTGACTGTTGATATCGCTAGAGCTATTGGACTCGATCAGTATTACATTCCCTGCCGTAAAGCATTTGATACGATACTTCGAATTTTGGATACACAGGTTCGCTGAATCTAGTCGTTATCCAACTCAAGAGTTGAAATAGGTAGTCGAATTTCAATGTGATCCAGTGAAACAGTTTAGGTTGGTCGCCCTCTGATGATGACTGCGATACAAAAAGGCAAAGAGCCTGAAGAGCTCCTAGGGTAATAAAATCATATGTGTGTATATATCATGTTTCCACAACGATTTACAGAGGGGAAGTGAAGCCAAAGCTAGATCTGTTCCGAACTTGTGTGGCGGCCATACCTCGTTTGTTACCGGAACCGATGCCCTATACCGTGGGTTGCCTCGTATCTTCCTTTCTTCAATGCTATGTTGTTTCTCAGGATCTTATTGACATATTGACGAGAACTACCGTCCATGTTGACGAAGAATTGCGCACAATGGCAGGAAACACATTGCAAAATATGTTGGGAGAATTCCCGGAATGGAGAGAACATATCATACTGGCTGAAATCACTTTGTTACAAAATCAGTTGACGGTAAAGATGCGTATAGCATAATACAGGTGATTAGCTCTTTGTTTTAGGATTTTTACCCTGTCGTTCTTGACGAAGCTCTCAGACTTCTGCACCAAATGGTTCTCACCTGGAAGTCTGCAGCGCTGCAAGAGAAGAAGAAGGAGCAAGAAAAGGTGTTTATTTGGCTAGGTTTTTTTTATGGGTCTTCTACATTTTTCCGTTGTGATAGTTCATAAGTTATCTTTAGTTTTTGATAGTTTATCTTTGCTGCTGCTTATGGGGAACTCTGCTTTAGTATTTTCCTCTGCTCAGATTTTACTTGAGGGTTTTTCAAATAGCTTCATTCTTTTTCTATCCCGGTTATTTCAGTGTGATCCAGCAAGTTTTTAAAAGCAGTTAGGAAATGTTTTGAGTCCGTTTAGTTTCCCATTATGCATCCACAGGCACCTGTTCTGATGTGATGAATCACACAAAAGGATTGAGAATGTATAATTTAGGAGAATACAGAACATGTCAATCATATCGCTACTCCACTTTATGTATTGAATTATGCTTCAGTCCTCCACACGGTTGAAGGTCTCGCTCTTGTTATGCTATGTCAGATTCGGTAAGTTATTGACCTTTCATATTGTTGATCAATAGTGGGCATGCAATTGTTTCAGGCCACAGCCTAGAAAAATAGCTATCTCGTTGCTGAGGGAAGTGAAACAAATCATAACCATTCTTTCGCTAGATGTAAGTACAAATTGCCACTCGTTTCGTTTGACATTACTCCAAATTCAGAATACGGACACCCCTGTCATTACCGTGCTGGATGAAGCAACCCCGTATGTTGTTCGTAAATACATCGAGCATGTACCTATGTACGAGCGAGTGAGTTACTTGTTTGTCTTTATATGAACTATTGTCCTTTGGTATTTTTTGCATTAAGAAAAGTTGAATTTTTTTCCAGACTAGCTGGAACATGGATTTCTCTTCAGTCTGTGAAAAGATTGCTGCAATTGACACCGATATCTGTCTCGTAAGTCTTTGTGTTTTCTATCAGAATATCATGCACCTGAAGTCTCATGTGTAGGTCAACAGCGACAAAGGAAATGAGTATCTACAATGGGATCCTTGGGCTTGTGCGCTGAGCGGATATGCGGAACGAAAGCATTTGTTGACACGGTATGTTTCAAAAGAATTTTGCAATTGCAAAAAACAATAACAATGCAATTGCAACAAATACTGCATGCAAAGAATTTGTATGCAATATTTGTTAATTTTTTTATAGCAAGATATTGTTATCATTTCTAGATGTCCATCGGCAGTTGCTAGCGCTTGGCCAGCTTTATACACTCGTCTCATTGCCGTAAACGCTTATGTTGATCCCAGGTGGGTATCCACTGCCACATATTGGTCATTGCTTCAAACCGAATACTCATTCTGGATTCTATTGATGTCGTTTGTGACTTCTTCGTTTTACTTATGGCTTTTAGCAATCCACAAAATGAGAACCGGGCCTCATTGCTGCGAGGAAGCAAAAGCAAGGGATCGTCTGTATGTGGAGAAGCACTCAGTCAAGATGGTTGTCTCTCATTATGGCAGAAATACCTAGTGTTGTGCTGCGCATTTGCTCCATCGCCACATGCTACTAGTCTGATATCCAGGAGTTTCAGTCCTACTTCTTCGTATGTGACTAATTTTGATTTCTTGTTTTAAAAGAAATTCACCTGTTTTTAAGCATGGAAACTGACGTGCTGAGAAGTGTGTCATCATCGCTGAGAGCTTCTTCGCGTATCCCGTCAACTGCATCATTGTCACAACTGTTCACAAAAGTCGCGGCAATGCTTCGTTGGGAAAATATGATTGATATCCGTGACAGCGTAGTGCTTGGTTAGTTCCACATTCCCACGCATGCTCGTTGTCGTAAATCACCAATTACTCAGGTGTTGGGTCTTTGAGCGCTGCCGCATTCGAGACGTTTTTTGAAGATTTGAATCAGCGAGGTATTTTGAGAGATGCAATGGAGAAAAAGGTGATGTTCAATTCACTTATCCACAAATGTTCTTTCTCTTTGCTTCAAAAAATGTTTTTGAGACGTAACATAATGAGCTGCTAAGTAATTGTGTTTGGTGTTGTTATGTTATCTTGACTTAAGTCATCATTCAGATGGAGACAAATGTGCGACGTCGCAAGCGGAAGGACCTACTGCGTCTCCAGATCATTCGTATTATTGAAGTTTGTCACATCCTTTTTTTGTAGTTACATCTAAACTTTCTCGTACCCCTTAATATCGATACCTTATTAGGTGGCTGTATTCCGTGGATTATTGGATTCCGCAATGATAGATAGTTTGGGCAGTCTGAGTCCACTCATACTCGATTTCATCGACTCGATGAGAGCAAACCTCGAAAGCGATCTGGTATGCAGTTTTTACGTTGAAATGTAATCCTTGATAACAAGCAAGATTATATCAGGATCGTGACATAGCAGTGGTGACGATGATGCGGCTACACTTTTCCAAACTTATTGCTGTGATCATTGATAATGTCAGTCCAGAAAATCGTGGCAGTCTCATTCCGGATGAAAAGAAGCAAAGCCTATTTTATCTGTTCATCGGCTGGTGCAGCAGAACGATAGCAGCAGATAAAAAGAATAGGGAAAATGATGTATGTTTTCATGTTGCTGTTCTATGCATCGCTGTTTATTTGATATTTTTCATTAAGGTTGGTTCATACGTGGAGCAAAAGGCGGCTTTAGCTATGACACGTCTACTCAGCTGTGGTAGAATATTTGAAGCTCAGAAATCTATTGGTGAAGATGGTTATTTATATGGCTGGTTGGAAAAACTTGTGTCAAGTGCGAATACTACGGTATGTTTATGTTGGAAATCACTTTTATGGTCCTTTTTCTCGTGTTATTTTTTCATAATATGCTCTTTCTTTTGAAATTGGTTATATCTCTTCGGTGGTGAAAGTGTTTTTCTAACTGAATCGTCTTATCTGAGAGTATCTGAAGTAGTACGGAATATCATGCATCATGAGTGCATAAATGTTCTCGGAATTCTATCCGGGAGCATCGTAGAGATCTAAAGAGTTTCTTCAATATTTATTGTGTGTAGAGCGTCAAGATCTTGCATAATGCCTGCGCGAATCTTGCATACTAACCGATGATCCGTCTTATATTGTTTCTAGTACAAATTTGGTTTTTACTAATATAAATTATTTCTATAAAGACTTACGCTGATTCAGATGCAAGGAGAAGTAGAAGAAATGCTAGCCTGGATGTTGGAACTAAATGAATCGAGCCACCTGCTAGACTGGTTAATGTCTCAATGCTATAGCCAGCCAAGTGCTGTTGCTGCGAAATGCTTCCGAGCTCTCGTGCGCGTCTTCTCTCGCCGAGATTTTCCGTGCGAATTTATATCGCTGTTCGTTTTGTGCCAGGCAATGCTCGGAGATCCAAATGTCGCAGATGCTGCAGTTCATATGATTGAGATACTCAAGAGACAATTTCTTGACAAGTGAGTCTTCCTTTTTTCAAAACGCATTCACATGTTTGGTGCTTATATGTATATTCATTGTAGCAGTATGGTCATGTCTCCACAGTTGGCGTCTACCGGAGGAAACATGGCGTCTTCTCCAGCTGTGCAGTTGAGATCGCCAGTAGTTACAAATTCGCACATCCATTGTTTCCCTATGGATCAGCAGGTTGTTTGTCAGAACCTTGCCAACTCATACCCTCATCTCACTATCACAATATTCAGCGGTAGGGGTTTTTGTGTGCTCATGTTCGATATTCTTTGCACTTTATCCGATTTTCAGAAGTTTCTTGCCGTCTTGAAAATGCTCGTAGTCAGAACCAGACGTACCTTATCGCTTTACTGTTACCTTGGATTGAGAATATTGAACTTGTGGATCCCGTTGCAGGAGAAGATGCTTGCGAAGGTAGATTATCTGGCGTGATATCTTGTCTCTTCCATTCATTTTTTGCACTTTTTATTTATTCCAGAAGAGAAATAACAGCCCTTTGAGCTATTCTCGTTACTATTCGATGAGGAATGTTTGTACTTTCAGGTCCACGGGGTTGGGGCTCTGAAGAAGCAACGCAACTCCTTCTGAACAACTTGATGTATCTCACTGTCACCCTCGCAAACGACCATGAACGAGAGCTTGCAGAAATCTGGCGTAGACTTGCTCTATCATTCCCTGCTAATCTGCCAGTCATTCTCAACTACATCTATGTTGTGACGGTGCTATCCCATGAAGCGCTTCTGCCATACGTAAGCTTATAATTTCAGACTAGAATCAGAACTTTGCATATGTTACTTGAATTCAATAGTCAATTCTTTTTTATTTCATCTTTTTGATATGCTCCATCCTCTCTGCATCTTGTTCAAGCAGTAGTTTTTCTTCACCATCCTTGATACCGTCGCATATTTAGGCCAAACGCGTTAGCGTCATTCTAGCTGGTGTAGTTGGCAATCGCATAGCTGCTCTTCTACTGGAACAACTTTCTACCTCCTCAGACACTTCTCGCCTCATACTTGAAAGATCCGATATTCCTCCTTACTACAAATGGAAAGATGAAACAGCTGATTTGAAGAAGGTAGGCTTATTTGACACTTCTTTGAGAGTAACTGATTTTCCCCATGTTACATCAGTTCAAGCTCTTATAATGTTAATGCTTTACACTGCTTTTTAAAGGTTTTGCCTCTACTTGGATAAGAGCTTCTGCACCTTCGCTTGTCACGGATAACATAAAGTGCAACATGCTGTCATTTCGCAATTTAAGCTGTAATTTTCCGTGCTTATCAAAGATTCGATTCATTTTTTATCAGAGAGAGTAAGTAACGTGTTGCTCACCATATATGTTTTACTGACGTATTGCTAAGATCTATACTCATAAAAACAAACCCAAGCTTTTGCAATGTCTTGTTCATTATCAGTGTTGAAAACCCCAAGGAGTGGATTCCGTAGTAGGGGTTTGAACCAACTTTATCGAAAGACAAATTTTGCTACTTCTTGAAGGATGGAGAATGACTTGGATTGAAGAGTCGGCCAACACATCTTTTGTTATTCAAAGAGATGGGTGAACCTTGTAATACTGGCAGTTTCTACCGCAACCTTCTACCATTAAAACTCAAATGATCGAGAACTTTTACTTTGGGTAATAGTTGGTGCTTTACTTGAGAGAAAGAGAATGTAAAAATTGAGCCTGACTCTTCTCCTGCCACATCTTTGAAATTCTACACTATAGCCTTCTCCCTTCCTTTTCTGTTTCCAAATTGGCTTCACCTTTTGGTTTATGTTGTGTCAAACGTGCAACAGCACATGCATTTATGACAACGTATAGTTTAAGTTTACACATACATATATTTTGAACACTACAATTTATGTGTGTAAAAGTGTGAGAATGTGTTGACACAGATTCTCACACTTTTAAGCCAACATCTCTAAGTGCATTACATTTACGGTTCATCTCCAGTGTAATTTTCGATTGGATATTGTGTTTAGCAAAACTTGTTGTGGGCTACACTAAAGGAAAAAGGTCACATCATTCCTTTTACCATGCAGAAGCCATACTTAATTCATCACTTATTGTTAGGTCAATTTTCAAGCGAATCAAGAGAGCATAACGATGTGGATGAAACCTTGAAACATAATTGGCTTGGGACTTTGAGGTTTCTATTATATGATATATAGGACTCCGCAGCTGAATTGGCGTCGCCAATGCGAGATTCACCAATGGGTGAACATTTTGTGACTGGTGCTGATGACGCCAGTAGAGAAGGAGTTCGCCTTCTTCCGATGCCCGCGTACGGAGGATACTATTCAAGACTTTGTGCACTATTACCACCAACAACACAGCCGGTGCAGTTTTTCACTAGGTTCGAGATTGTTCACCATTATCCCATCGGTGTCAAATAAAAGTCCAGTTTGTGCAATGTTTTTGCAGAAGTCAAGTGGCGCTGCTTCTCATTTGCGACATCATCCGGGCATCTTCTGATGTAGATTGGACTGAAGCTACACCCCGTCTGCTTCATGCGGCAGTATTGTCTCTGGACTCACTTCGTCCAGCTCTTTGTCGGCACGCAAGACAGGTTCTTGAGAAACTTTGATGTCCTGGTATCAGTAGGTTTATTCAGACGATCATCAATTTGGCTCTCCTACATGCAGACCAGGCCACTTTGGCTCATGTGTCTGGCATGCTGTTGAAACATCAAATGTGTGGCTCATCGTGGGACGATTCGGGATATAAAATCCTATCATCATCCTTCTGTGAGGCGGGCAGCACCCGTGGCGTTTCACCCACTTTTGCAAAAGTTGCCGGTGAAGAGTACAGAAGTATGCTGCTCAACAGCAATGCGATGTTTTCATCGCAAAGCGACCTCATCATGGCTCTCATCTTTTGTTTGAGTGAGAAGTTAGTCTCTAAACTTGATTGCGTCTATGATTACGTCGGAGAAGTCAGCCATGTCTATTTTAGTATGGACACTCCGTTATGGCCGAACGAAGATGCTACCCCACGTTGTTGGAAGGTACCCAGTGCCACACAGCTGACCTGTTTGGTGAGTACTCGATTTTTGTTTGAAAGTATTTTTCGGGCAGTCTTGGTACCTGATTTTCTTCTAATTTGTTTTTAATTTCAGGTTCGTCATCTTGCTGAACTTGTTCTACCTTCGATTCCTTTACTTCCTGTGGTATGGACGCAGATAGCTATGCGTATGGCACTTACCACAACGCAGCGGCATGCAGCTGGTCGTTGTTTCCAGGTAGCTTTTTGTAAAGTTGTTTTTTTATACATTTTTTTTGTAATGCTGGACGTTGCAGATAGTATCCGCATTATGCCAGCCTCCTGGCGCGTGGATCCCCTCGCTTATCAGCAGACTTGTGGAGACAGCCGGTGAAACCCACGAGGATACCCAGGCATATGTGACGGATTTACTGCTCTGTCTCCTTAGCAGTGCTCCTCATCTGAATCCGGTGCGTTCTATCACGCGATCTAGTTCATTAGTTTCTATCGAATCTGATACATATCTTGCTTTTATTCCTTGGTCAACTGAGGTGATTCAGATACTGGAGCCACCACTCCAAACATCTGCATCTCCCAGCCATGCACGGTCAACTTCTTATACTCCCGCTCTTCTTAGGCAGTCTGTAATCACTCAGAGACTTCATCAGGAGAAGAAAGGTGGGAATGAATACTTAACGATAATTACTTACCAAACCTGCTCGCCATTTTATCCGTTCTAGATGCTCGGCTGTCGCTCTTACTTTCAGAAGAGGACTCCCGTCTGGGAAGTGCTTTGATGAGAAGCAAAAGTGCTGATCAGTTGAAAAGCGATGCCGAAGGGGATGAGGTTGTTGTTGATTGAAGCATTATTCAATGTTCTTATTGAAGTTTCTTTTATAGGAAGCTACGGCGCGAATGCAGATATGTGCCATCGCTGTTGCTTTGCTCGAAAGTGGAGTGGACAACGAATTTTTGCTTGCGATCAACCTCCTCGAAAAGGTCCGTTAGAATGCTAGAATGGTCTGGGATCCCCGTTAGTCTGTTATGCGACCACGATGGCGGGTAGTCATGCTTGTCAGCGCACCGGGTGCATGGTTATGATTTACGATCGCGCGCTGCCGCATATCCGCTTTGAAGAGAGGCGAGCAGTCAGTCTCCGAGTAAATTGGCGATCATCGTGTCGCAGTGGGTGCAAGGTGTATTGTGCACCTTTCTATGGCTGTCAGCGAAGAAGGTCGCTTGTACACGCAACCGGAACATGCACCATTGCAACAATGTTTATGATGAAGATGTGACCTCAGCTTTGCTTTTTTCGAATTTAGATTTTGGACACATCAAGCGCGCATAAAACACGATGTTTGCAAAAATTGGAGAAGACCATCAACCAGCTGGACTGGAAAGGTTTCAGTGGCATTGTGGGATTGTTATCTAGAGGTCAGTTAATATCTTTGAGTTCAAATATCACGCTTTTTGGAGTTCCATGTCTGCGATCGAAGCAATGCGATACTTTCAGAAGGATTCGGAGATGTAAAGAGAATTTAAAGGGAAAAAAAAAACTAAAGCGTTACCAGCACAAAGGCATGGCGGCAGAACAACATATCCATGGGGCATGGCGCGACTGCACTAGGGCAACCTGACTATGTTGTTTTCGAGGAAAGAAGCAAAGGGAATCTTTTCGCAGGAGTTCTGGCGGAGTCAGGGGATGTAAATTAGCGTAGATAGACAAGTGCCTTGTTAACAAGAACAGTCAACGACATGAAACATTCGGTGTGCATATGCGCATGAACGTCACAACATATTTGAAAGAAAGGAAAAGTTACACAGTTGAAAGCCGTGGCAAACTTTTCTCCACAATCCAGCCGTTATCCTGCCAGCTGAGTGCCAGCTCAGTTGGTACAGATCCTTTGCTTCATCTTCGATTTTGTTTGCGTAGTTGTGATCTCCTTATAGGAAGCTTTGAACACCAAAACGGCTCCAAATCCCTTCTTCTCCGCTTTATACCCTTCAGAAAATTCTCAATGGTGCAAGCTTGCTCCAAGCCAGATCAGCCGCCCTTAAGCAGATCTTTATTGCTATTGCTTAGTGAGATCCCTCACTGTGAAGCTTGAGTAGAGGCACTGTGTTTACTCTTTTTGACAACGAAGGGAAGTTCAACAATTTTTTGAATCTAGAGAGAGCTTTCCCGTAATTTGGAGGCACCAGCTCATGCCTAGCTCTGTCACACCTATCTCCTTTCGTAAAGAGTTATGGTTTTTCCATCTATTATAGAACCAGTGCCAGTACCCACTCAGTATTTGAATTGGCGCCATTATGACACATTCAGGTATTGGCTTGCTTTTATGAATTTTTTTATCTTTCACTGAGATGTCAGCTGTCAAGTTTTCGCATCCCGAGTGATCCTATAAAAATCCATCCTATAAAAAGCATTCAAGTTTGAAGTTAACATGAACGACCATTCATAAAGGCTTGCGATTATGTTTGCAGCTTATGGATGCTCCGAACAAGGTCTAAAACCAATGGTTCTTATCTGACCGGTTCTTTTTTGACCCCCAATCCTCATGCAGCAGTTTATTCAATTTCACAGTAGGAAGTGTCAGCAGTGGGAGTTCTGCCACACGCGTCCACGCAGCTGTAAATTTTGTTGCCGCTGACAAGTTACTATGATTTATTAAGTTGAGTAGGAGATTGCGACTTGATTAGATCTCGTTGCACAGATTAGCGGTTGAAGATTGATTGCTATTGAAGTGGAGTGAAAATCGTCTAATCAGTTTATTTTTCACACAAAAATCAAATCATGTTTGAAAATGAAGCTGTTAAACCGGGTATCCCGAATCAAATTGCGATGATCTCCTGTTTACATCAGTTTTTCATTTTAGCTCTCCATTTTCTTCAAAAACACCTCTCACTTCCATTACTTTACACTCCACTTATGAGAGAATTTCTTGTAATTGTGCGGCTGTCGGTTTGATTACATCTACAACACTTCAATTAGATTATCTCATAGTGATGTTTTGCTCACGGCCTTCATCGTCAAATTTAATGGTTCGTTTGGCAGACAACATCACCTCCAATCTGAAACGATGTTCAGTTTTGTGAAGTGACACATGTCAAACCTTTCATGGTACATAAGGTACTACTTTAAAGTATGGACTTCAAGAAATTGTTAGCAAAGATCTTGATCATGCCAAGTTGGTTGATACTGCAGGAGTAATTTTTCCATGTCTTACATGTGCAGTGCGCCTATGAGAAGGTGTTCCTTCGGCCCGGATGTATTTCATAGTTTTCAAGGAAGAATCTACACATTCGGTGGATGCAGTAGTGCATTGAAAAAGACTTATTAAAACCAGTGTTTTTGCCGAGGGTTTTTGTCCCAGCAGAATGTATTTATATTGATGTAATTTTGACTTTATTCAATTTTGTGATGATGTTTTTCTACCTCTTTACAAATATTTGAAAATCGCATAAAATAGCCTCACGACAAGAAAGTGCGCATGGCTGTTTTCCTTATCAAAATCATTTTTATCACATAAAATCTTTGCAGTTGAAAATTGAGTAAGCGCAACTTATTCTAGGAACTGTGGTTGCACCTGCATACGAAACTTCCATCCAAGCTCTTACCAGACTCATTGACGTATTGGATGAACCAGTCGTCGGTGGTCGAGACTCGCTAGGACTTCTCGTCTGCCATGTACTGCCGTATCTTTTATACAACTTTGAGTCTACGAACTCACTGTGCATCTCAGTATGTACGGCCCTGAAACAGGTATCCTCACCTTAGAAGAAAGCTATCAATTAAGTCAAGTTTCCTTACAGTACTGCGTTGATGAGCTGAAGAAGCTAGAGGTCGAACAAGCAGATCATCCGCTGAATAACTTAGCTACGGTAAGTTTGGTTGCTTTCGCTTTTCGGTTCGTCAGATCGTTCGGTAGATTGCATTCACAACAAGTTTCACTTTCTCTATTCTGATGTGTTTAGTCATCTCTAGAAAATTTTTTGAATTTATCTTGAGATTCTAGTCTGGTAATATGCTTCTTTATTGTTACCCTGTTCCAGTGATTTTCTTTCAGCTATGATCTTTGTTCTGCAAACAGAGTTCACAGCTAGAAGAGCGTATTCTACGGAATATTGTTCCGACACGAATTGCAATTGCTGCAGTAAAAGTTTCTCAATTCCAGATGTTGCTGCAGTACGCGACGAAAACTTTTTCGAAAGATCGTTACCAGTGGGCTAAATGTGTGTTGCAATACTTGTGCGAAGCGATTGATGGTTCCATGGTGCTCCAAATGATTGTGCTGGTAGCAGAGGTGTGTTTCCCACGTTATCCCTGCATTCACCTTCATTTATGGAGAAAGTAACTATAGATTAAGTGCGTATGTTATTTCTACGGGTGACAAGAGAGCATAATTAATGTTGGTGTCATTGTGTGTACGTTCGCCTTGACGAATCGAAGGTGATGCGCAGAACGATAAGGCTGAACTTCGAATAGGAGCGGACAGTACGTAGCGCTTGCGCAACCGTAATTGCTGTGACGTGTGGCGATTACCCTGACGGGTGGTTGAATTCAACGTTTTAGCGTTTTTTGGTTAATGAACACAAATTAGTGATGAACACGTTCTTTTGGAAAAGTGACGATCTGTCAAGTACGGAATAAGTAGGAGTCATGTGGCATCAAATATCTGTGTGAGGTTGTCACATAAATCTTGCAGCGATAAAGTTTTGTTCGCTGAGTTCAAAAAATCTACCATTTGGTTCGTATTATGTTTTTCTTATTATGTGTAGTAAATGTTATATCTCATCATGCACAACATTCTTCAAACAAATAACTTTGGAAATCATAGCTTCTGGCATAGACGCCGAACAGCTATCAATATCATCAATACCAATATCAAATCTGTTGGACTTCGAATACCAAATAACAAAAGGCGGTTTGAATGTTTTCCTGACTGCTTGTATCTGCAAGATTTGCCAACAATGAGTTTTGCTTTGAGCGCTGCTAAAAGCTGATGTGATCTCTTCAATAAATTTCGGACCTTTTAATCCATCAAAAAAGGTTTTCACTTTGATTGAAGTTGAAAATGAAAAAATTTGGTGCAAGATCTATGGACAACCTAAGATCGGGCTTCATGAAATCGTGTATCAGCGTTTTAATCACAGATTACTGATTCCTCCAATCGCGGACTATAGTCTAGGCCAAATTCTTGTGAAAATGTCACATGAAACTTTTTAGCTTCGTTCTGATTTGTAAAATAGAAACTTTCGCTTCTTGAGAATGCTTCCAGATATTTTTTGTGCTACAGGCAGCAACTAAACACAATATGCTCAACTCAGGTTAATAGTTCAAGATCAAGCTTTCAGTCTGATTTTCAAACAAGAGATATCCATACAATTAGAACGGAAAATCGTAAGATATGTGGAATTGCATGTTCACTGATTTGTATACCGGTGGTACTTTCCGCGCCAGTATACCCCTGGATACCGTTTTTTTGCTGATCCCGTGATTGGATCTCTATTAGCACCCTCTTTTTCTAGTAGAAAGCTGGCAGCTTTGCCAGTGTTTGAGAGAGAACGGATAGGCAGTTAGCAGCCGGGAGCCCATATTTGATGGAGGACCTTCCGGTGTCATTCGTTGGATTGGCTTCCATGACGGCGCGGCAACACTTCCGCTGCCATTGACGCCGCGTCGACAAGTTGTTAATGATGTATGACTTGTGGTGCAAGAAAAATCGCGCTTGCTCACTCGGAAGATATCAGTTTTTGCTGGTGTTGTAAGTTTTCTCAGACACGACATGCAGTCAGATGCTTCGAAGAGATTACGATACATGACATGCCTTGTTATCTGTTATCCGGTGGCTGAGAGGTGCAAATTAGCCGGCCCTCCCATAAGGCGTTAGATGCTATCTGTTATGGAGTACTACTGATTGTGGGAAAGGAAGTCGTTAGGATTTGGGTGCAAGAAGTTGGAGAAAAATCCATATTGCCTTGGTTAGGTTCTCTGGTGGTGGAAAGTTAGCGCCAATTAATAGGCCATGATGGTTGCCTTGGTTAGGTTCTTTGGTGGTGAAAAGTTAGCGCCAATTAATAGGCCATGATGGGTTTGCGGTCGGAAGATATCGTATGTGAGGAGTTTTTTTTTATTGAGCTAAAAACAAAGCATTTTTGTGGCAAAATGAGAATAAATATACTACACTGATTCCACGAAATTTCCGAAAGATAGTTTCTTGTTGCTGTAAATCTTGACTTCTTCTGCATATATAAGGAAATTCGCTTGCATATAGAAACTATTTTCGACTATAAATAATCATAAGCTGCAAAATCTCTTCTTCTATTTGCTAGGTAGCCAAAGACTTATAATTTACCAAATTATTCTATGCATTCACTTTAGCACGAAAAAAGAGCCCAAAACTAAAAGTGAGACTTTTGATTTTATGTAAGAATATCCAGGAAGCAGCTTTTCGAATTGCGCGAAAATTTTTTGGCCAACGTCGCAAGTAGATATAGGGAAGTTGCATCGTCAGGAAAATATGCGAAGGGATGGCTCATAAGTGGGATTATGAGGTTGGTGGAAATGGTGCTTTATTACTTATACAAAATTTCGAACTTACAATAGGTGATAGCAAGTAAGCTTCATGGTTGTCATTGACTTTTGGAGGCTTCACAAAAAAAATTCTTGCTAAAAAAACCATCTGATTCTCGTTAGAATTATGAACAAAACGAAATTGTTCTAGCCAGCTTCATAGAACGTTTAATTTTTATAAGTTAGAAGTTTAAAGACTATTTGCGACCTTTTTCGGACCATCGCCTTTTCTCACCAAACCTGAATAGATTCCTGAATAGAGCAAATTCAGGAATGTTGTTTCCTTATCTTTCTGTCCTTAATCATGGATATACAAATTCAGAACAATCTTTCAGATGTTGGAGAGAGGAGCATCTTCCATGCACATCTACGTCTTGCACATGCTCTATCTGCTACTGCTCCGACGAGAAGCTGCAAGCGCTTCTTTAGTCATCAACGCCCAGGTACGATTTTTCTCACTCTCTTGAGCACACTTTGTCCCCTCACGCTTCTTTGCCTAATTTAGCTACTGGCGGAGTAATCCGCTGCGTGCACCTGCCCTTTTGAGACGCCGTTCTTTCGCACCGTGTGTGTGTGATTCGGCGCGGCCGATGGTAATCCGCTACCGTGACTTGTTGCGCAGAGGCGCCGTTCAGAGCGTATTGTGGCTATTAAGGAATTACGTTAATCGCTGCATAGCGCGCCAGAAGTTGCTCGTCGTCGCGTTTGTGGCAGGTTGTTTCTTAGCTGAGTGGAGTGACTTGTGCGTTCTAACAGCCGCATCGCGTGAACACGATCGTAACTTGCTGTTTATAGTCGTTTCTGGCACAACATTTGCGCAGTTAAACTCTGCTAAGATTCACAGAGATGTCAGCTGGTACGCTCGTGAATTAGAAGCTGCTGCTGACTGCTTTGAAAGCGGCTAGAATGAGCTTCACGCTTTAGAATCACACGCAACGGTCCCCGTCGTTTCACGACACGCACATTGCAGCCATCGCACTACTATAACCGGCATGAACTCGTTTATGAGCCCGCGTGTTCATCTAATGATTGCCGGGAAAGCCTTTTTGCATAGTTTACGACATTTTGATAGGCGCGCACCATATTGTTCGCAGGCGGCCTCGCGAATCGTCGCCCGCTAATCGCACACACGCAGCCACAGATGGTTCATCTGCGTCATATCCGATTGCCCTAAACAACATAGAAGATTAGGATTTTAAACAGCATAAGAATAATCGGAGAAAGGAAACAATGTGCTTTTGTTTCAGGTTGTACGTAGCGTTTCTCGACACATACAGGTCAGTTGGAATTTTTTTTAGTTTTACGAGATATTTTTTTCACTCGCTTTTGACCAAAAGTAGCTTTTTTATATAGGGGTCTAGTTGGCGGGAAGCGGCTCGAGTGTACAAAGTAATTGTTGAGCAATGGCAGAACACAGAAAGAGACAATACAGCGGTAAGTTACTGCTACAGTATGGTCAACTTGAAAAAAATTTGATTTGAAGCTGCTGCTGAATTTTTCAAATGTGCTGTTGTTCTTCCCGTAATTTTCTCACTTTATGCATGGCGTGGCAGGCGCGTGCGAAAGTCTGTCGCCAGACGTGAGACTAACGATTCGGTTTATTCAGCATATGTTGCTGAAAATTTGGAAATGTGTCCGTGCTCCTTGCTTACGGCAGACACCCCCAAAGAAGTCACCGCTACCGTTAACTGCCATAAGAACTCCCGTATGACGTAAAGTATGTACATAACACCGTACCGACAAATAATCTGCAGTCGACCGCTTTATGAGGGGTAGTCTGCCTTTGAAGATAAGATCTTTCTTTCGTATGGCCACTACCATCCCCGTGTGAGCAGTACCCTCTCCCCTCTCTGCCGACGCGCTTAATGTGTCCGACACCTGGCGCTGTTCGGGGCATGAAATCCGACCCTGCCTCATCACAGAATGTTGTTAAATTGTTAATGACCTCTCCGCTGCGACAATTCCGTAGCCCTTTCAACATACCGCGTAAAAAGAAACATATGTACCGTATGCGATCAGTGGTTGAGTACTTAATTATTACGCTCTCTGAGGTTCGAGACTACAGCAGCGTCAAGAGAAAAGTATGGGTTCTCTGATATCTAGAGGTCAACAAGTTACAAGTGTTCACATTAAAAATATGAAAAAGAAACAAGTCTAGGCGCTGGAGGATGAGTATTTAACACTTATGATGCTTATGTTAGCTGAATTTATTCATTCGAGGATTATGAAGTTTCCAAGCGCTTTAGATTGATTTTTCAAAAAGAGAAATCGTATATAAGAGGGAAATCTAGGGAAGTGCTGTGACATCTGGTTTCGAACTCGATTTATCCTTGGTATCTGCCGCCAATGGATCCAAGCAAAGTCCACAGTCACCGAGAAAGAACACCTCTACCCTTGACTCGACGCTGACCAGCACTATCGGAAGCGTCAAGAAAATTGCTCCTCCGCATGTAAGCATATAGACTTATCTGGTTTATCTCATGCTGTGAATGTCCATCTCCAGATACGCGTTCGAGACCGGCTCGTGGGCTTGCTTTCAGCCTCAGGACTTCGGGTCGGATTACCATCCGCTGTTTCCGTGGTGTTTTCGCAAAGTGAACTGGGTAGCACTGCGTCGTCAACGGAGAGAATATGCACCTCTTCACAGGTTTTTGTTGGCGCAAAATGGATTTTTAGAACATCCTGGATGTGATTTTTTTGTCAGGAGGTTGCGTCCACAACATCGCTGCCGGAGCCCTCGGCAAGCATCACTGACTCCTTCCCAAGGGTCTTCAAAGAGTTCGATTTCTTGGAAGCGGAACATGATAGCGTATCGGAAACAGCCGACAGTTGCTTTGGATGGTTGTCTACTATGCGTCCGAGATCCATTGGAGGCGATGAACCTCATCATGATGATGATGCTGATGTTGACGAGGATGAGGTCTGTACTCATGAACCACGTGGAGTTTATCCTTTATTTTTTAGGATTCTGAAAGTGCGCAGGCAAATTCGGAAGGAGGAGGAGCGTCTACATCTCGTTTGTCTAGGACTTCTATCTCTTCGGAGCGGACACCATGCCCTTCAGAAGTTGATGAAGAGGAAGATGGTAGAGCTTTTCGGAGAAAATCAGCTTTTTTGACATTACGACTTACAGAGGCTGATGATGGATTTGGTGAAGTCTCTTCTCAGACCGGTGCAGATCAGAAGCAGGATAGGCTAAGTCCACCGTCTGCATTGTCCAGAGAAGTGTTGGAGAAGAGGTAAGCAATGATTTGACTCGTACCTTTTTGCAAAGACATATTTAGGCCAACCGATCGTTTGAATGGAGTCGATGAGGAGTCACTTGATGGGTCGTCGTTCTGCTGTCGGTCGAGAGCGTCTCTGGGAGAATTCTACTCTTCTAAAGCAACACCTACATCTCCGTTGTACATACAGTGCCCACATCATCTTGACGGAAAGGTGAGTCAGACCGAAATTTGTGGACAAACCTAGATTTTTCGTTCCAGGTGGATGCTACATGGATCTCGCTCGTGGCTGAACTACAAGACGATTCCGAAGGGGAACTGACAGCCTATGCAACATTGCTTTTTACTCAGCTTTTTAGGGTCAGTACCTTATGTTTCGGGCGCCCCCTCGCTTGGTCTCCCTATCTCCATATGTCAAATGTCTTAGTATATTTGCCAATGCTTAGTCCTCTCAGCACCATGAGATCTCATGGCTCGCGCTATTTTCGTCACGTTGTCACCCGATCGTGCCTTCTAGGCTAATCTCCTTCACCATATCAGATTACAAATTTGCGCCCTCTGTTCAGTATTCCCGCTTACTCTACCTCGATTTTTCTTGAGTAAAAATTTCTTTTCAGTCATGCTGTGGACGTGTGGCCTCCCTGCTCAGAGATGCGATGCACGTCTTCTCATCAAAACCACTAGCGCGAATTTTTGCTCATGCTCAGGATACACTGAGTGGAGTTGCAGATTGTCCTTTTCTTTTTGTTACTGCGCAATATGTAAGTGTTAGGTGCTGTTTATGTTTGTAGATAAATGAGATAATCTCAAATTTTTCTCCAGCTTCGCTGCTCTGGAATCCTACCACGTCTAAAGCTGTCTTTGTTCGAACTTCGTGAGCATTGGGAGACCTTCAATGAGCGAAAAGAACAGAGCATTAGGGTTTGTGAAGTGAAGTTTTTTGTATAGTTGGCAAGCGGTAGCTCGTTTGTGTCGTCGCCATTACCATCTTCACTTGCTCCCCCTCTCCTTGTTTGCTGCTGATGTTTTCCCAATAGTCATCTGATTGCAAATTAGCCGCCGCTTTCCGACCGGAGGGCGTGGAAATTGACGAAATTCTACACCGAGAGCTTTTGCCCTCTCTTCTGAGGAGGAATAGATCCCGTGGCGGCGCGGTGTTGATTTTATGTTTTTCAGCTGCTGAATTCGGTGAAGTCCGCCTACAAGCTGAACGCTCTTGTTGGTTCAGCCTCGTCGCTCAATTCGAACAGTGTACGTTATGTTCCTGTCATTGTGACCTGAACACCTGATGATGATGTTGAGAGAGCGAGCGGGACGGCTGCGTCTGAGAAAGATATGATCGCTCCACCTCGTTGTGAAATGCTTAGTTAGCTCGTAAAGCGCGTAAATGGGACCACGGTGTAGAGACCTCCGCGCTTCTGAAGTGCCGCCGCTAGTTACGATTTTGAGCGCTTCGGATCTTTTGCCTAAAAAGAAGTAGATGCGTGGAAGGCGTTAAGGAATTGAGTGAGTGCGAAATGGCAAGAGGTCTGCTTGTTGGCCGCTGGCCTCGTGCGACCGGTTTTCTGATGAGTTCTCTATCTTAATGTGTTGATTGAGACGCCTGGAGTCGACGATTTGCGCGCAGATTATCGTAGGGCGGAAGACGATTAGACACGCGCGCTGACAGCGAATCTGACCCCAGCAGCAGGTTGCTGGCAGCAAATGTTGGAACAAGGAAGTAAAAAGTCGAAAATTACATCGTTTTAGGAGACCGAGCTCGGCAAACTGCTCAGCAAGTTGCTCTTCCAGTTGATGCTCATGAGCGACTCTTTGAATGATATGGTCCGTCTTGTCGACGAATCGCATGGTGCTCAGGTGAGCGGCAGTGTTTCTGAAATTTGTTAGGTCTAAAAAAGACCTATGGAAGGGTATGGTCTGATCATCAAATGCATTTACCGTACTAGGGGCGCAATAAATCTCTGTCGAAATGCGTGTGATGGCGGTAGCGCTGTTAACGCTGTGCCGTTTTATGTGCCGACACTTTCCACGGAGTGTTGATTTCATACTATGGTTCTACTTAACTTTCCGCAATAAATGCTTTTCGAGACAATTGCGGAGAGAAAAGAAGTTTGGCAAGAATTTGGCTTAGGACAGCCTTGCCTTAGGACATGTGGCTTTGAATCCCCATGTACAATCACGCTGAATGATCACAATCCATTGTTTCCGAAGTGGCTTTTACGCAGCTTTTCTGCTTGAGCTCACACAAGACTTGTTAGTAAATGTAGGCGCATTGTGTGTGAGAACTCCATTATGATTCCAATCGCTTGCCAGCGGCGCTGTTACCGTAATCGGCTGCACTGCATTATTTCGGCGAAGTGTGAGTTGTAGTCGTGGTCGCGGACGACACGTCGTCGCGTCGACCTGCCACAGGCAGTGTTTGCGTAGATGTAAGAGTGGGGGCGCGACATGCATCATGTCAACTTATGGTAGGGTGGGGGTGGTGGTGTGCTAGCTGCCGGGGGGAGAGGGGAGGACTGGTGGTTATCCACCTGTCACCAACGACATGTTGCCGTATTTGGCGCCCGATTAGATTTCACAGCAGCAGCACACCGTGTTTGTCTGTGTGTACGCACACCGTCGACACTGTACAGTTGAAAGCCGTATACCGTATGCTTGAAAGACAAACTTCATTGTCCGAATGCGGGGTGGTGGTGTGCTTTTCGTTTGTGTGAACATGCTCCTTGTCTGCTGTTGTGCACTGTGTGGATGATAAAGTGCAACAAACACCGCTCATCCGCTAGAGAGAGCTAAATTTGGAAGACTGGTTGTGAAGAAGAAGAACAGGCGCGGTGTTAGACGTACTGTGGACGCACAAGCATAGGGCGCAGCGATGAGCTCTTTTCATTCGGGTTGTCTCGCTGAAAATGAGCAATTTTTCGTTCTCTTGGGCCGTTCCAAAAATCTCTCAGTTGGTGTGAAAGAGCGTGTGGTACTCAGAATGGTCAAACAACATTTTCTAACGCCAAAAATTATGAAAAGTAATGGACGTACGAAAACACACCTTCTAAATAACGTTTGTCTCATTCATTCTTGACGGACACTGTATGATTCTGTAATGAACACTTACAGGCATACACCTTATCCCCGGCCGTACTGGATCATCAACGCGAACTTCTCGTATGCGTAGCTGATCTTCCACCATGTGATATGCAGTCTTCTATGCGACCGGAGCACTCAGGCGACTCGCTCGTTCTTCTAATGACGAATAAACGCTATGCACAAGCTCTACATACCCTCAGAAGTCTTCGGTAGGTTGCCATTTACTACACCATTTTTGGGATGTGCTACCGCGCCTCTATGTTTGCTTAGTGCTGCAGTCACTGATCGTACGCTAATATGCAAATTTGTGTAGCGATTAAGCACCCGGCTCCGCTCTGGCTCTCGACTGCCTAACCGATTATAGAAGAGAAGCGACCGGTAGATCGCCGCCATCCCCCTACGTGTGTGTGTATTTGCCGACGTGTTGATGATTGAGGAGGTCAAGTGGATAAGCCTAAAGTCGAGTTAACAAGAGAGACCCCCGTTCTAGCACTATCGTTCAAGAGATTACTTTTCAAAAATCCTACTGTGTTCCATTACTTCCCTCTCCTATCACTGTGCAGCGCGTAGAGGGAGGAACCGGGTGTGCTTGTCGTGCTACCACCACCACCTGCGTGACTGTGTGTGTGTTGTGTGTGAGATCATAGCGCGTCGCTTGTTGAAATTCGCGGATCATTATTTGCGAGATACTTGTGCGCACAGGAGAAAAGAGGATTGTGTGCAGCGGCGCTTAGTTGACGAACTGGCACTCAACTGAAAGTCGCGCCCTCAGCATGCGTTGTACTACAAAGTTACCGTAACCTGACCAGGAACAATCGGTCCTCATTTTGACTCTGTTCTAGGTTGGCGTTTGGATCCGAATTTGGATGCTGTGAAGCGGCTGACATCGATGTGCTGCTGCTCCTTTTCTGTCGAAGTCACTCTTTAAAAGCATGGGCGCTAGTTGGCGCGGTTCCAGAAGCGCTACGACGACAAAGTCAAAGTCTCCGCGACGCAAATGCGGACGTAGCATCAGCTGTACGACGCATGGCATCGGACGTCACCTCTCACCGGGCGTCAACAGCCTCGTCGTTAACGGAATCTTTTCAAAAAATTTCGTATTTACCTGACTAACCTTATATTTTTTCTAGCGAATCTCGAAAACTTTTGTTACATGTTTGATTAGGCGCTTGATTTCTGAATCTCTGTTCGTAAGTACCTGCGATTTAGTAAAAAAATTGTACAGACTTGATATGCTACTGACACCTTTGCCCGAGACTTCGAAATCTTGTCATACTTTACACAATAGTTTTTCCGCTTTCAAAAATTTACAAAACAGTATCTCTTCCTACGTGTCGCCTTACCCACTTCTTTACGATTGTTTCTAGTTTTCTAGTTGTGAAAAAATGTGCAATGAGCTGAATAAATATGTTCTTCTAGCAGATATGTGAACCAAACACTCTAGTTTTTCCACGTTTCTCATCACACTTCGCAGCGAGATACTGTAGAGAGTTGCTGGATAATTGTCAACGAGGTGAGAGCGCGTGCGCGTACGATCGCACATGAAGCGTCGGGTATTTGTCTGAGTGGAAACATTGAGCATGAAATAGATTTATATAGCAAAATCACTGGGAATGGACACGATTTGTACATTGAACACAGACTGCGAGAGGAGAGAAGTATCCGCTAGAAGAAGAAATATCACTCTCAAGCGGATGCGGTACAAAATCTGCGAAAATAACAGAGAAAAGAGAATATGAACTAAAGCTGAGCATCTGATATATTCTTGGTATTCTTCAAATATCTCAACATCACACTTGTGAACATAGTTGTGAATCAGCCCGAACAATGTCATAGATCAAAGGTACGAAGAAGAACAGAGTTTTGCACATAAGTGTGCACACCTCAGAAGAGATTTGAACTTTAGGCGGGAGAAAAATGACAAAACTAAGCGTTAGACAGCGAGTAGAGCCCTACAAAGCGATTAAACTAGTTATATCCCGCACATAAAACTAGGAGATCTCGCGCACTCCAAATCATCTCGTCCCGCTTCTTAGGATAACAAAACTAGAGCTGGAGGTGTGCGCACCTGGAGCCATAGCCCGTGATGACAAGAATAGAATATGTTATAGCGAATAGATACGAAACCATGTCATGGCTTTGACAAGAGATCTGACACATCGAATCCGCCCTTCCGCGGTGCCGGCGGCACGGCGGCAGGACTGAGGGCGGCGGCCGGCAGTATGGGAGGCCGCAGTAGGGCTGCTTGCCACTGGGATATCATATCGGGAGTGGGATAGAACATCTCAGATGGGAATGCGAATGGGAACATTTGCGGAGGCAGTCGAGGGGGACAGATGGGTGCCGCGGCCGCCGTCGGAACGGGCGGAGATGGCCTCGGAGGGTCTTCTCGGGCCTTCTTTGGTGCAGGGTCGTCGTCCTCAGAGGCGTCCTCCGAAGGGTGGGCAGACGAGGATCTGGGTGAGTGTTGCTCCCTAGCCTGAGTCTGCAACAGCCGCTTCTTCTCCCTCTTGCCAGCCCCTGCGTCCCGGAACCCCTTCGCGAACGGGTTGTGGTCGATCTTCAGTTGCGTGACCTGCAATATTCAAATAATCTCATTTCGAAGCTGTGGCAGATGGCTGCTAAGCATTGTTTTCTCAGCGTTATCACCACACTATCACCGGCTAAGCCCCCTAGCGAAACATGCGCAAACCGCAGCGAAATCGGCGCCTATTCATATCTGTAATGTACACAAAGAGCAGCAGCAGTTACATCTAATCGCGCCCGATGAATGGTACCAGCATTGGATTAACTTGTACGGTAGAGAGATTGTCGGCGATACGAATGTGCGCTGGCTTGCGTGGCCCGATACACTACACTCAGCGACCAACCTTTTCGTTTTGATAGGCGGTAACTGCGATGAACTCGGTCTCCTTGAAGACGAACGTGCGGAAAGTCGAATAGGGCAAATTCATGATCTCCGCACAACGAACGATGTGTAGACGAGGTTGATATTTGTGCATTGAGTTCAGGATCGTCTGAAAATGGCGAGTTGAGGAGGAATGTTGCGACAAAAATTCTGCTTATTTTCGTTGTTCCATTTTGGGCAAGCACTACCTTGAGAAGGGTGCTGAACCACAAAGTGAGAAAATTGGTGTATAAACGGCTGAAAGACAGGTATACGGTAACGAGCTACCAACCTTACAAGTGAAAGAAAAGATTAAGAGGTAAAGAAGACAAATCTAAGAATTAGAGGTGGGGGGATGGTTTGCGTAATTACTTGGAAGTTTTTATGTATAAAGATTTCACGACACGACAAAATTGGTGTTGAAAGCATTGAACATTTATTTTATTATTCATATCTCTTTCTGAAAAAATTCTATTCCTCTAGTGATACGTTCTGAGCTAAAAATTATCCTTTTCGCAACTAATGACTACCAGCGCTATTGTTTGAATAGTAAACGAGACCGGGTGCGCTATTATGAACTGAACAGAGGTTCACCTTGGAATGAGTGAGTTGAGCCGATGAAGGGAGCCACGCTTATTGACGGTTAAATTGCACCGATTATCGTTGTCTCCCAGTCAGAGAGTCAAACAGAAACAGAGCGACGACGAAAATTCGCGAGGGGTCGATTTCAAATCACACTCTCGTCGAAGTGAAGAGAGCGAGGAGTGAGATGGCGGTGGCGGTGGGTGATTTGCAAAGGGAAACGGTATATGAATGGAAGCTGATGGTGGTGAAATATGGGCTCTCGTAATAAATGAAGCGCCATGGCCGGTAGCCGTGGCGACTTCCGCACTAACACTTCGCATAAACGAGAAACATGGCAGCTGCGAGTAATTCTCGCTGACAGTACTGACAACGGATGTAAACGAAGCGGAGTAGTGAGAGAGTGTTAAAAACGATTGGTGTCTCGATTACGTCAAGAGAGGATCGAGGATCGTGAGGAGCGAAAGAAAGAGGCGAGAGAAAACAGCAAAAGAGCAGCGGATGAAATTACGAAAGTGCGTAGAGGAACTCACATAGCCTTGTTTGTCAGATATGTTGTTCGTCAATTTCAATTTGTGAAAGTTCGCTCCCTTGGCCATCCAGTGCTCGCCGGTAGCGGGAGAATCAGGGTGAATATACATCCTCTTTGGCATTTCGGGATCCGCTTTGCCGGCCACCATCCATCTGAACTTTGAAACCTTAGAAACGAAAAAGAACTGCCCCGTATTGAAGCACTAATCAACACCGAAGCTGTCATAGATAACGCCTAAATTCCAATAAAATGTCCTAGCTGACAAAAGATAGGCAGCCTAACAAGCGTCGACAAATTAATGGAGTGTCATAAAAGGTGCCATTACTATCAGAGGGAGATAAATTAGCGACACGGCCAGCATCAGCAAACACTTTACGCTCCGACGAAACACAAAATTGAGACGACGACACTCTCTCAGCAACTCACCGACTATTGTTGAACTTGTAGCGACACTCATCAGCTGGAACCAGGTCCATGAGAAATATATACTTGCTCTTCTTATCCAGACCACTGACTTTCACTCGGAAAGCGGGGAATATCCGCCTGAAGTAATCGAAACTTATGGGTGGTAATAAAGAAAAATAGCAGTATTATGTGGAATGAGTAACTACCTCCCACTTTTGGTAATCACCATCTCAGTACCACAGGAGTTGAATGAATTCCATAGCTCTTTGTCGTCGAGCTCAACTTGTGGATCATCCTGTACTCCATCGTCATCCACACGAGCTCCACGCATTTCACTCAGGTCTGGTGGTAGCCGAGGGAAGAAGCTCGGAGCCCCCGGTAGAGTGGGTATGTGGCCCATGAAGGGCAAAAGGGCCAGATCGGGACGGCTCAGGAACGGGTTGAACGCCATGCTCGCATCTCACACGCGCAACTGCCGAAATTGACACCTCAACTTGCGGCCCCGCCCGCTTTCGATGATTGGTAGCAGGCGTGCCGGGGGCGGGGCGTGGCGGGGGTTGCACGCTGGACCGTCGGCGCCGCGACTACGGTAGCCAGCCGCTCCCCTATCAATGACCGCGACTCGAGGCTACCTGCCACCCCTCTTTCTCGATCAAAATTCCATCTTTTGCGAACAAGATGCCCTTTTTCTATTACAGTGCTTCCTGACTGAATGAGAAATCTTGCTTTGCTGACAATTTTAACGCATTTTGTGGAAAAAATTGGTCAAATCATCACTTGTTGCTTCATCTAATTCTCGTTGCTTTTGAATGATTGACATGACGGTTGTTGGCTGTTCAGCTTCTCTTCTGCTCTTTTACTAGCATTCAATAAGTAATCCAATTTTTGTGCTTCTCACAACATTTTTCACTCTTTCAAGATTTTATTCGTGAACAGTTTCTCACAAAAATACAGAACAAAAGTGCAATGTCAACTGGCGATTGTTAGCGATTCCTCGACGACAAATCCTCGAGCCGAAAGCATCGCTCGCCAATCGATCGCCACAGCTGATTTCGACTGAAACACTGCGCAGTTGCGCGTTTCTGCGCGCACTGAGTTAAATCGTCGTTTGCGAATTAGCGTGTGTGTGGTGTGTGGAACAGCAGCGAGTGATGTGTCGAAGAAGCGAGGCAGAGCCCCCAATGTAAGAAAGTGTTTGGTTCAAACAATAACGAGTACAACGATCGAGTATGTAACAACAATGTCAACAATGGGGGGGGGGGTTTGCTATTGCAGCGATCTCAAACTCTCAACAGTGGGGTCTATGGCCATCTCATCTTCCCGACGTATGAGAATTCCTATCAAGGCATGGAGAGTGTGCTCTTGTTGTGCAGCCAGTAGCTTCATGCCTCCATCGCCAACCATTCCCGGTTCGAACTTTTGCGAGCCATCGGTAGCCTTGTCAAGTTCTCGTAGTATCGCATAGACTCCTTTTTCGCGAAGCCGCTCTCGTGAATGTCTTGTGGCGCAAAGCTGGAATGAATCTGAGATCTTATGAATAATTCAGCTGAACAGGAATTACCTGATATAGAGCCTCAACCAGTTTTTGTCGCACTTCCAGTGACTTTTCCCTTTTTCCCTCATAGTACTGCAATCTCAATGGTAGCTTTTGAGTTTCTTCATCACTTAGATCATCTTCAGAGTCTGCCAAAGGTGAGAGTAAGGAGAGGAGGTAGAGATCATCTTCATCCAAGAGGGCTTGATGCAAGGCTGCAAACTGTTGGTTTTCTTTCAGATATTTCAACAGAGTTTTGGTTTCTAGTCAAGCAGACCGTTGTAGGAGGCGTTTTTCTGCACTGCCATTGCTCAAGCGATTTTAAGAGACTAAAAGAAGCCCCAATGTGATGATCTCATTGCCCAGCAAGACTCGGGCCATTTCGTAACGCGCGAGGCATTGTTAGCGTAACACGCTGATAAACATGGTCATCACTTAGTGATGATTGCGCTGGGGCTGAATAGCTGAATGGCTGTCGTCCGCACATCATAACGATGCTCTCCAGTGGCACTTGACGTAGCCAAGCGATGCGATGACGAACATAATCAGGCCCCAAGCTTAGCGACACATGGTCGCGAGCGCATAAACACACATGTCGCCGCGATTCTTGTCTTCACAATCACTTGCTGCTGCGCTTGTTATGGTACCCAAAAACACCTCCTCGCGAAATTGAGCCATTGTGCCCGTGGAGCCGCAGCAGGGAGAACAACAGACCTGGCTGCTGTTTACGGGAAAGACGCGTGGACTCGGCGGTAAGAAGAAGTGAGACGGGATCTTTTGCTTCATTTACCACAACGATCGGTTACGGTATCGCTGACGCGCGGATACTGTGCCCTGGCATGTCGTGCATGCCAAGTGAGAAGCCGAACAGCAGTGTTTGCGCCTCAGTGAGATATTATGTGCCATACACACAACAGGTGTCCGTTTCAAAGACTTTTCAGACGAGGTGATGACACGGCCGTTTCGCAGCACAAACAACGCACCGATACATCCGCAGATGAGTAAATGAGCAAAGCATCGCTCTCTCGAGAGCAAAAAACCCTGACACTGTGACACAGGGACATTGTTTACTTCTAGAGCTTCATCCACATTCAACCAACGAAGAATTAGTTGGCCTGAACTTTTTTGCGGTGGTAAGAAGATAAACAGTGTCCTGAGGACGCCAAGCTTGCAAGAAAAAGGATAGTTACGCAACAAAGCTTCAGTTTCTCTTTGTTCCAAGCTCTTGCAATTTTTCCCATAATCTTCGTCTTCGGTCCAACATTAGGCCATCAAGAAGGCTTTTTCAAGCTCGCATGCTTTGTTAGTCACTTTTTCCCCAGAAGCGCAAGTAAGCGTCTCTACCGTGTGTTGTGCCCCAAAAGGTCCTTTGGGCCCAGTAAGGAGCTCCATCGCTCGCCTAATTGTGCTCAATTCCACAAGTTGGGGCGCCAATTTGGACAAGCGGGCCGTGACGAGCTGTGCATCCACAAACCGCGCGCTCTCTGAGCACCGGCTAGCCCTAATGCCATTGCGACACCGGCATGGAAACAAGTGAGAAGATAATTAGCATTTAACGGACACGAGTGGAATAACAACGAATCACTCGCGTTGCGTTAGCCATTTGTGCCCAAATAATTACCCGTCAAAGCCGCGAGCGGATACGGTAAACTAGAACTACGACACCAGAACACACCGACGGCTGTATAAAATTGGAGTTGGAAGTTGAGAGTAGGGAGGGAGAGCTGAAGGTTTTTCGGGGGAAGGAGAAGGAAGGCTAGAAGCCATCTGCATTTCTACGAGACTAGTTTATTTAGCCCATTAGGGCACCGGTGGCCTACGCCACTTTTAAAAAATTACTCTCATATTTTCATCTGGATTCTTGCATATGAGCTGCCCAATATAGACCTACAAGATTCGACTTTCTTGCCAGCATCAGTATAAGTCGGAAAGCAGTCATAAAGTCCATAATAAAATTTCTCTAAAAATCGCGTGGCCGTCACTGGGTTGAAGGAGAACTTACAAGACATTTGAATATTTCCATTTCCTGCCCACTTCTATGCAATTTGAGTTATTACTTACTACTAATCATAAAATGTCCAATATCCAAAACTCTAATAGTTATAACACCTTCAGGGAAGCTTACACCCTGGCTCTTCGAATTTCCAAGCAAAAATTCTTTCAAATCGAGTCATAAAGTTTTTTCTATTCAGCTTTTGCAACAAAACAACGAGTAGAGATTTTGAGTGTAATTCTCTAACAACCCTTTCTCGATTGAAAACCTTAATCTTTACGTAAACGCTATTTTGATGGTAATCTATGGCATCTCCATATTAGGGTTCGATCTCCACGCAGCTATTACTTTACAACATCACCAACTATCGTTTTCGAATCCATAAAAGACATGAAATGGCACCTCACAGCATTGAGCGGCGCTCATTTCATGCGCGTCGCCTTCATTGGCGTGGAAGACGACCCCGTTAGTGCAGTGTTTATAGCGGCAACAATCGCGCGCAGAAGTGCTGTTCTCGGAAAAAGTGACTGCTCTGGCGAGTGATACGGTAGCGCCTCACACGAGGAGTGTGGAGTGGAGTGAGTGACACAGACCCGGCTGCTGACACACACACGCTCGGCGCGACGAACGAAAACATCGCGCGATTTTCGACACCCTCAAAATGCAATTTACAGCTTCAGCCGTGAAAATTCTCTTGCCGACGACGAGACGAGACGTCGCAATCAAAGAGCAAGCAAGACGCGAGATGAGCCTTACGATAGCTAATCCTGGCAGCAAATGTAGTATCTCGCGGCAAATCGCGACCCGCGCAGCGAATCTCTCGCGAAAAACCATCTCCATCTCCGCGAAAAGAACCTTCTCACCGTTGTCTCTGCGGTGAGTGAGCGCACACAAGGTGATAAAGACCGCAATCAGATCATGTGTTTACATACGCAGCACACATGTCTGGCAAACATTGTGTACCTGTCCCAACTCCTACAAGAAGAAGCTTCTTAGTTTCACACAACAGGTGCGGCGGGGTGGGGTGACAGAACAGGACTACTTTGGACAGAGCAAATTGTGGACCATTCAGTTTACAATTGGAAAGGGGTGCGCAGATGTGGTTACAAAAATTATTTCGCTGAAAATGACGTTTTTTGGAAAGCAGGGAAGTAAAAAAAACAAGAGCAGTGATTATAGGTAAAACAGCGATGGAAATTAGCAATGAGGTTGAAAATAGCATCTATTCCAGACTAGGAGACTCAAGACCGCTTTGCATACTTCCTGAACAATGTTGAACGTGTTCTTTCCCGTTTCCAAGCAGCAAATAATACTAAATGAAATAGATTACAAGTATGAACTTGCCAGAAATACATGACCAAGCTTGTTTAGACAATGTGTGCAAAGGCGGTTTCGCGTCTCTCAGTCATAGGCCCCGGTCAGACTTCACGCGGATTTCGCGATTTCGCGCGCGCCAAGATTTCCATTCATTTTCATTTCACATTCAAAAATTTCGGTCTGGAAAAGTATCACAACTGAATGCAAGTTGATCGGCATGGAATGATGTTGTAACAGTTGTCTCGTCGCGATTCAGTCGCGACGATCAAATCGCGTGAAGTCTGCCCGGGGCCATAGGATAGATACCTTTGGAGATACCATTCATTCTGCGAGGGCGACTCAACAGCTTTGTCTAACAAGTTAATACTTGTGCTTTACTCATAATTTACTATTTGAAGTCAAAGGGAGAACAAATTTAAGCTTGTTAGACAACATGTGGGAAACGTTCTCGAGTGCCTTATGTCGGCAGATTTCAATACCTGTTGAAGATCTCAGAACTCGTACTGAAAAAGAAGCAATAAATAGCCACTTTCTAATCGATACGTGGTGTTTATAGTTATCATGCCTTACCATAGAATATGATAACTATAAACAACACGTATCGATTGGAAAGTGGCTATTTTGGCAAAGTGGCTTCTTTTGCAGTACGAGTCCTGAGATCTTCGACAGGTATTACAATCTACCGATTATCGACAATAGCTCTTCAGATCTGCGGTGTAGCTTGCGCTGTTCGGAGACACTTAAGAGTCGACCACAGTGAAAGGTCGTCTCTTGTCGGACACGGCTGTATCGGATGTCGGATTAAGCTGAGGTCAAGAGTGACCGCCGCGCAAACACGACACAGAAGCTGCTGTTCGGTGTGTGCTCCGTCGCGACACCGGGTCTAGCGCTTGCTGAGGGAATGAGAGCATCTAGCAGCGGGACTAGAGTATCCGACATCGAAAAGTTTCTCACGCGCTGTCCTTCCAGGGGAAAATTGATGGGGTAACATAAGAAAACCCACAGGTTGAGTAGCGGGTGTCATAGTGACGCTGAACGCTCATCTATCATCACCTGACGATCCGCGCGATGACGAAGCACACGCGACCGTCGGCTTCTCTTCAAAGGAGTTGCTGACAGTATCGGCTGAAACTGAACAAGGACGCAAGCGCGGAAAAACTTGAGCGCGCGCGGATGGATGAGATGAACGAACGAACGTCTGTCGCTGTGCAAAGCACACAGAATTGCATCTATCTCTCTCCCAAAACCACGCTCCGCTCGCGCTCGTCTCATCTTCCCAATTTTCTCGCCACGCGTGTTAACGCAGCCATAAACCAGCAGTGCTGGGACGTCGCCCTCGACTCGTCGAGAGGCGCTCATGATACAGTGCGAGAACATAACATTGCGCACTCAGGGGCTAGTGCACTGAGGAAGTCTGTCTGGGTATACTCGCGGGGGGGGGGGGGGGAGGGTGATAGTCGATGACAAGCAGTACCGACTTTACCTACTTCCGACAGACAGTATTCCATAGAATGAGCAACTGCTATTTATATCGGTTCGAGTCGACCCCATTAGGTAAAGATTGTGTTAGGTGCACTGCCGCAAAAGGAGTATCCTAGATTTTAGCGTCAGTTTAGTGCGAACGAAGCCAAGAGAGTTTCTCCAGTGAGACTTTACGACCCAAACTAGGTAAAAACACTTCGTCACAGCCATACACTTGGATTCTGGCATGACGATTTTCCTTCCTTCAACCCACTTCATATCTTCTTCCTGTTACGCTTGGTCCAGCTATTACTTTCCGAGCTTTACGCACCCAAAGTGACCAAGTGACAAGTGTTGGTGTAGGAGCAGAGCACCTTTTACGGCCAAATCACAAGTAGCACTCAAGCCGGTCGCTGCAGCTACCACCCGCTGACTACCGTGAAACCACATAAAAGCTTGTCCGATTACCGTAAAGGTCTCAGCTCAACCACTCGTCTTCCGACGGCGGCAACCCTTTATAGTCTCTCTCGGCTACGCCAAACACTCATTAACAGCTCAGGCTTAAACTAATAGACTAAGACATTCAAGAACACGGCGGTCAGGTGAACAAGCTCAGCGCAAATACCATTTTAGCAGAGCAACGAGCAATTGACTCAATTTTGGTACCTCCATAAGCGCTGCGAGAACCAAACCAAAACTTACAGTCTTCAAAAGCCAGATTCCTCAAAATATCCACTGCGCTCTCCTTCTTGTCGTCGACCGAGACCAGAGGGCAAATGCTGGCGAGCAGTTTATCATTGACCAACGAATGCCTGACTGCTGAAAGCGTTGACAGATTGACGAGTGTGAAACCAATCAGTGACGAGAACGAATCTTCAGTGGGCGTCGAGAAAAGTTCTGAAATACACTTGTATCTAGAGTGCGATGGGTACAAGTTGAGGATTTTGATGCTCAGAGAACAGAATCGTATTTATGACGCTCGGGGGAATAAAAATGAGTATATCACGCATAAACTCAGACCTTCATTAGGCTCAAAAGTAGAGTTGAAATGGAAAATGGGGATGGAATTTTATAAAGAAGCCTATCCATTTGGGAGAAAATTCATCTAATGTTTCCCTCACATGCTCCAATCCTCGTTACCACAAAACATACATTTTGTGACGAGCAAACATCCGTGTTTACAGTTAGCACTCGGATTTTCGTCACTTGAGGTGATCACGGTAAGAAATATGTAAAGGTGGATACTGCGCTAGGTAAGAACGTGTTATGATTTTTTATTTTTGTAGCTATAATTCGGAAATTGTTGCGTAGCTTTAGTCCATTCTGGGACTAGGAGATTCAAAAACGCTTTGCATTTTGGTAACTAACAAGTTGATACTTACTCTCTGCCTACTTTTGGATGAATTTCTACTTGAATGTAGCGGAAAAACAAGTTTGAAATCTTTGTTAATCTCACATGCACAAGGCGTTCTTTCTCAATTTATCAAGCTCAGAATGGGACGTATGAATATGAAACTTTTCCACCATTCATTCTGTGCCTTGGAGGCTGAAGTACGCTTTGCACACATTGTCAAATCATATCTGATCGTGTAGTAACAAGTTTATACCTGTGATCTATCCCACCTAGGAATATACTATTGAACAAAAACAAGTTCAAGCTTGTTCAGACAATGTATGCAAAGCGTTTTCGAGTCTCCTAGTCACAGGATAGATGATAAGTCGTTTCCGTAGCATTTTTACAGGTTTTTCAGACCTGTGCACTAATGCAACCGTACAGGCGTCAACTTAGCAACCTCGCACAACCTCCTACCGTACGCCTTCTGACGACGATGTGTGTGGAGTGCGAAAAAGGAATCACTAGCCAGCGCTCACACCCGACACAATACGCGTCAACACGTCACACACACGCACACCCTGCAAACGCTTTGATTCGATTAGCGAAGTTGAGAGTGGAGGACGTGGTGGTGGCCCGTTCGTCGGCCGTCAACGGCGGTAGCAACAGCCTCCACCGCCACCGCCACCGCCACCACCCGTGTCCCCGCCGCTGACATCGCTCATGGACCGTCCGCTCCTGTACTAGTTTTTGTCCCGTTCGGGAGGACATGCAACATGATTTGTCGCTCAGCAAAAAACCAACGTTGCGATGGCTGACAAGTGGAGTGTGTGTGGTTCCTCGGTGTTTATGTCTGGATATGTGAAACGACGCGCCCGATCTGTGGACGCGCAATGTCAATCACCGATTGCGAGAAGTTTCAGCAGTTTGTTGTAGAGTGAGCGCTGACATGATCGCTTGATTGATGATTACACGAAATGGCGGTTGATGCGAGAAAAACGGACGGAAACGCGCGACGAACGACGAGAGAAAGAAGATTTGCTGCCACAGAAAACTTGCATACCAATTGGTCTTTCGGTATTATTGCACAAAGCACAATCTGACCCCAGTAATGCGCAATAAGTGAAAAAACTGTTTTGCAATAACATAAGAAGTTATACAAAGCTATGATGGGATTGTTAGATGCTCGAAAAAGAGTAATAGAGTACGGCCAAGCCACTCGACGATGCAAATATTCACAAGTTTTTCGGCATGGATTCTCAATAATTTGCGCCACAACAAGGGCTGCATTTTGGACTGATGGAACATTTTGGACTCTTAATAGAACTTAACGCTCTTAAAGTTGTTCGTTGGAAAATTAGCGCATCTGCAAAAGCAAAATAGAAATTTGGAAGAAATTTCAGAGTGTGCTGTGGAGCATCGGTGCCCAAGCCGTTGTCAATAAAGTGGTTATATTAGCCAAGAAAATGAATAATATAATAAAATAATGAACTTGCAGAAGGACTGTGCGAAAAAATACCTCGTTTCTTGCCCATGTACAGACAATCTCAGAATCGCAGTGGATGTTAAATCAGCTCTATGACCGACTATACTTATATTTGGTATAGAAGTGTATGACATGATGTGAAATGTGAGCGCAAAACATAAAGTTCATCAGTTAATTTTACTGTAGTCTTTGCCGCATAAAGTCTCATATAACGCAATTCTACGATAATAGACATTTCTAAAAAATTTCAGGTCGTCATCAATTCGTCATCCTGTTGGCAGCGATTGATATTAGTTTGCTCTATCCATATTTAGGGGCTCCCAAAGTGCTTCAGTGAGGGGCATGCAAACTCAGATGGCGTAACGGACCGCCGCGATATGCTATCAGAACCGACCTCCACTGTATATCTCCCACACATGACGAGCACATAAATCATCGGAAGGGGCATCTGTCCGTTCAAGTGGGCCAACCTCTTCGGAAACAGCTAATCATCGTTGTCATAGTTATTATTTGGACAGCATAAACAATTCAAAAGTATACATAAGAATGCTGAAAAAAAAGGGGAAAGTCGAGAGTTTGACAGCTGTTCTTGAAGAACTTTGTTTTATGACAGATAAATTTGCAGACTAGAGCGTTAAACCTGAGCAGTAAAATGTTGAAAACCAGTCTAGAAGAAGTGTTGACTAACTGAGACTCGAGTTTTTCGAGCTATTATCTGTTCTGAGACTAGGAGAGCTGCGGAAAATTATGCACACTTTTTCTAAAGGGCTCAAAGATCTTTTTCGTTCAATTATACGTGTTAATTTATTTTCCAGATGAGGTGGAGCACAAAAATGAACTTGTTAGTCCCATATATGCAAAGCGTTCTTGAGTCTTCTAGTCCCAGAATGGGTGACATAAACTCAAACGAACCCCACTTGTTCAATCTCTGATCTTTATTTCCTATGTGGGCGAAGAAAAGTCAATTGGTCGTGCCCGTCACCCGTCATTAAATTGTTTCATGGAGATGGAACCTGTGAAAACGCTGTTATCAGTCAACTCGTTCTTCTTCGGACACGAAACGCACGAGTCAATTTAACAGTTGATGTGATTACTCGCGACAACCGCACTGACATCTCTTCGCCTACTGTGCAAAGGGGTTTACGACTGGCCTTTTCACGCCACGGGAAGCGAACTTTCGCGTTATGTGCAGATCAGACTGACAAACTCATTAAAAACTATATCGATTCAATACATTAGGGCTAGATCATAATTTTGAGAAACTCAAAAAGTGGACATAAATCTAGCTACATGTAAAGAAGAGGAACATCTGACGCATTGATGAATTTATGCAACCATGGTGTCTATAGCAGCCAGCAGTGAAAACACAAGCCAGCCATATTTATCAGCAGCGGCGGGTAGTAATTTACGACCACCCCAGTACATAACAGCAAAAGCACAGTTTTTGCGGTGGCAATAAGAGCAGCAGCTACCTAGCTGCTTGTTCCCATGAATCTATGGACTATCAAAGCGATTACTCACCCACAAGGACATTCAACGCCTTCGCTTCATGGGCGACAAGTAGTTCGTTCACCCGATCAGGAAAATGCCTCGACAAGTTTGCCAGAAGACGAGCGCCAAAATTGGCGTACAAAGCACGAGTTCGAGATGCATCAAAGGCTAGTTGGGCGCATTTTGAGTTCGTCAAGATGTAGCTGGCCACTTCAGCGGATCCAGATGAGAAGTTCGTCAGAGCGGATAGTGTGTGCGATCTATCCGACATCGTTGCTTCGCACAATTCACAAATCGCCTGGTAAAATTAATGAATTTTCTTCAGCTTCGAGAATTTATACCCTAACCAACCTTGCCCATGGCACAATCATTCCTTAGAAAGAGACGACCAGCGGAACCGTCCAGGGCACCGCTGACCGAAATAACATAGTCTAACGCTGCACGACGAACATCTAGTCGAGTTGTCGGTGTCAGAAACCCTATGAGTTCGGCCATAGCTTTTCCATTATCTTCAGACTCACCCATAGTGCGCGAGAGACCTAAACAGAATGATAAGCATCATATCGAACTGGTTAAGTAAATCCCGCATATGCTTTTATTCCCGCAAGGGAACCATAAGGAATGGGATTTTTTGTTGAAGCGTTTTGTGACCCCCAACGAGAAAAATCCAATGTTCAATTCAAATTCAAAAATTCAATATCGAACTGTCTCTACCGTAATCCCTTGGTCGAGATAATCCCTTTACGATAGCCACTCCATTTCTGGCCTAACAGACCTTCTTGACTTTGATGTTCTGATAACTCTAAGTAAAGCGACAGTGCTGTTTTTATGGCCAGTTGGCAGTCGTGTATATTATGCTCGAGACACGATGTTCGTCAGTGTTATGGTTGCTAAGCGTCATTTGCTGCACCTCAGGCGCGCGCCAGCCGTGCCTGAACTCGCGCGTTTTTACCGCTGTTGCTCATCCATCACACAGTGGCCACTTAATAGTAGCTGTGCGGAACAAGTGTTCGGTGTCGGCTATAACCGCAAGACGAGACTATGATGCTTTTCAGTACTAAAAAGCCAGTGCTCAGGGCTTGGAGCCTGTTATTGTCACTACGGCACCACCTATTGGCATCGGGTCAATAGGTAGTCGTAGTGACATGTGCTTACTATTGTTGGGGGCGAGTGCTGACAGATGGACTGGCCGTGCTGACAAGCTGCTATAATCGACAGCAACTGTGCGAAGCGCTTTGATGCGAGCAGCTTGTCATGTTCCGGTGACAAATGTCGTGTAGATCGCCGGCCGGGTGTCTCACCTGGCTCTCGTCAAGCTACGGTAGTACCCGTAGCTCGGGGAGAGCTGGCGTCGCGGACAAACAACGAACACTCAAGCGATACCGTCGCTAACACTTCATAATACACACCCGAGGTGACTGCACGGTAACAAAGCGCAGCCAAGCAGCAGCTCGGCCGTCGAGTGCGAGCTGTCGGACGAGTGCGAGCGAACGAGACGCTCGAGACGCGCGAGCACACGACTCTTAGAGCCGATCGGTTTCAAAACGAAGCGAATCTGTGTTGATGCTTGTTCGAGTGGGACGACACAGCACACGGTGGGCTCTCACTCAGCACTCGACGCGACGATACTATCGCTTCGCATCTGAGCCGCAAAAACGTGCACCCGCAGCTCTCGAGCGCCCACCTTCTTCAATAGTGGTTACCGTTCGAATCCGGCTCACGGGCAAACAAAGACAAATCCTTCTCACTGTTCAATAAAGGCTTAGCTCAAGTACAATACGCTCGACCTGAGCTCAACTTCGGGTGGAAGACGGGTGAAAGGGGCGCACACTATGACTGTAATGAATAGAAATCAAATATTGTGAAAACGCAAGAAAATATACAGGGTATCCCAAAAAAATGTTAACACTGTTTGATCGTTAATAACTCCCTTGCTTTCATGTCTTTCGCCGAGCTTGAGGCACCATTATGTAGGGCGAGGTTCAACTTAGATTTACAGTATGGAGCGAATCACCGTTCCTCTTTGTTACGGTAAGATTACGGTGAGAAATTCCAGCATGTGGGACCGTTGTGGAATATGCCCTCTGACAAAATTTTTTCAAAAAATCTGAAAAATCGTGTACTAAGGTTTTCGCGCACGCTGACTTTACTAAACAACTTTTTACGAGTGTTTTCAGCTTTTCTGACGATGTAATCACATTTTTGACACATGCTAGGAAGTCAGTTATTACACTTTACCTCGGATAACTTCGAAAAGAAGTATCATAATAAAATGGAAATTTCATATCCAAAATCAGTGGCTTTCATTACCATAGTACAAGAGATTTTGGCTTGTTTGGCTCTGTTTCGAAGCAGAAAATGGCCTTTGATGGCCTAAAATCCTTGTCAAATTTCCTACCGTAATTCTACAGTATCGAGGAGAGTTAGATGATTCGCTCCATACATCTAAGTTTATCCTCGCTCTACAGAATGGTACCTAAAGCTCGGCGAAAGACTTGAAAGCAAGGGAGTTATTAACGATCAAGCAGTGTTAACATTTTTTGGGACACCCTGTATTTTACACCTTTGTATATATTTTCATATAAAATACATGTACCTGAACGTATGGATCTATATCCGTGCAGCGACAGACCGTGATATGACTTGCTTTCTCACAAATGTGGAACATGTTATAGAATGAAGAAAAAATCAAGGCTCGTAAAGAAAAAATATTTCGGGGGAGGGCGGGGGGGGGGGGGCATTTCGAGGCTCATTCCAAGAAGCTGTTAGAGAGCGGCTTCGTCGTAGTCAATGATAAAATCTAACTAAGCGGACAAGGAAAGTAGAAGCAGATTTCAACAGCTTTCGTCCGAGCTACGGTAAGTCTACGGTGGTCGTGGAAATGAGATTTCGACTTGCAGTTTCGAAAAGCAATTTGTACAAGGTTAAATAAGAATTTCTCCAAATTAATTTTTTCCTCACTTCTCCTTCTTTACTTCACTAATGTGGATCGAGAACAATGCTACTTTTCCGAGAGCGACAAATGCTATACTGTTCTCTGGTAACCGTACACTGATTAGCTATATCACCAAGAAGAATATTGCAGAGAAAGAAAGACTGAAAAGTCTTCCAAGAAGATTCCCTTTAGTACGAATTGATGGATATATCTTCCAGAAAACAGTTTCTTTCTGTAGCTAGTCCGGCTCCTAAGCTCAACTCTTCCATAGAAACTCAATTTCTTTTTCTTTAGGTAATTTTTCTGTAGATAACCACAGAGCTCTTAGCCAGCTTCATACTTTCTCCAAAAAACCGAGTAAGTGACGTCTGTTCGAGAGCGTAAATGACTCTGCTGCTGCGGTTAAGTGATCCAGTGGAGCGGAATGCTTTGGTTTGCCACTTGTAGCTGCTATTTGTCATTTGTCTTGGCGGCCAACAAATGTTTTCATCATTGTAACACGGACAGCGCGATGTGCTGAGTAGCGCGCTCTGGGCGAGAATATCAGCTAGTTAACGACCACCAGGGACCATTGTACTACGCGCACTATATACCAGGTATGAATTATTGCTTATCGCTTTTAGAATAAACAACAAGAACGTACTTTAGCGCAACATTGACTCCTGTGAGCCCTCAAAACTTTCTCGCAAATTGCGCAACGTTCTGTGGGTGTAGTAAAACGACACCGCTCCGGATATGCACAGATTAACCCACGATAAGTGACGCAATATTGACATGCTCGTTGCTTACCGTGCATAAACTTGGAGGACGTATGAGCCAAGACGGAACGGACTAACAATCAGAATACAGGGCTAGGGAACTTAGCGGATCACTCAGGTTTCTTCTAGAGATCGAGAACATGTACTGGATTCCAAAACCTCAACACGAGAGATTACGAGAGATTTTACTCACAAAGATGGGATAAAAATATGGAGATGTCTCATGAAATTTCTCCTAGTTAAAAAAATTATATTCTTCCATACTGTAGTACAACGATGTCAGAACCAAGAAAGTTCTACGAATGACTATCACAACCACATTGTAACTATATCTGCAGAGTCAAAATCTCTGAGAATTTCTTACTTTAAAAAGCAGAATTTTGCTTCAGAATAGCCTCCTACTCACGTACAGGGCTCGGCACAGGTGGCTTACAAGCAAGCTGGATATCGTTTTTGGGACGAAAAGCAAAGGGGGTTTCGTTTTTGTGACCGAAGAAAGACGCAAAATTGGGGACGTTTTTTTTAGTCGACGTTCCGTTTCTTGGGGGATTTTGGGGAATTTTTCAGGTTTTTAGAGGAAATTTGGTTGAGGGTCAAAGGGGACTTCGTAAAAATTTCCAAAAGTCAAGGGGGACTTCGTTTTTTCCATTTTCATCTAGCCACCTCGTGCCGAGCCCTGCTCACGTACACAACGTCAGAATCAACAGAATCCATTCATAAAAGTTCATGATTTTTATTATGAAAAAAACTGGCAAACTTTGCCTCGAGCAGATTTTTCCCAAATAGTAGCATACATTCAGAGGGATATCATTCCAAAACCTTGTGAGTGCACTAACTCTTAAGCTATCAATTTCAGCGTTCGATTCAGATACAAGATTGATAAACGAGCCAAAAACTGCCTTGGCAACCAAATTTGGTGGCAATACCATTTCATTTTGGAGCACAGTAATAGGACCAAAAAATCAGCTTTATTACTAGTGACCATGTTGTTGCAGTTTCTTCTTTTTTCATGTGTGAATACGTGGAAGCATACAGGCAGAAATAGAATTTGTTCACTGTCCTTTAACAAACACCCACTGTGAGCCTCCTCAATGATAAGAAAATCAGCTTTCTAACTTGCACACATTCTCAACGCCTATAGTAAGCACATAATCCTGCGATTGCTTTGCAATGACGAGAGTAGTGTAGTCTTTCGAAAGGAATACAGCGTCACAATCTCTTAATCCAATTATAGGCAAAGACCTGAAAAAAGCTATCACTATAGCTTGCCTTCTGCCATACTTGTTTATCACTTCTCAATTTCACACTTGCACGTGCAAGGCTACCGTATCCTTCACAATTTCTATCGAGATGAGGCAGATTCGACTGGCATATGTACAGTCACACCTCGCTCGACAAGAATCACGCGTTGACACTCGCTCGGTGTCTGTGTGTTTGTCTCATAGCGGCTCAATGTTGTGCAACCGGTTTGGCGGCATTCGCTTTTGATGATAACGAAGCTAATCCGCAGAGCATACCCAACGTCTCTCGGGCGGCACGTTATCTTTAACGAAACAAAAATGCCTGACTTCATCACCCCCTGTGTGTGTCGTCGATGCAAACACACGCACAGGGATGAGGGGTACAAGGGCCCTGCTATTAGCGTCTGATAAAACATTCCGAGGGTTGGGTGGCCTTATTACAGAAAGTCAGTCGACACATCGACCGAGCTCACTTTCGACTGTCTCCCACTTGGGAATAGGGAATTTGGTGGTGAATTCTTTGAATACGCGGATCATATGACCTACAGTACACCTACGGTAGCTGTACGAAAAGTTACTGCAAATATTGGAGTCGTTTCAGAATGCTAAAAGACCCCTGGATTGATTATACTTTGCGATGCGAGTTGATTTGAACGTGTTGATGAAGAGCACAAATCATCTTACAGTCCAAACCTTTCATATCATAATGTCTGCAACTGCACGCATTGCACGTTTCACCGCGCATTTTTTGACTACGGGAATGCACTGCTTCCAAGCGATTGTTTTTCCACCTTCACATGTTAGTCCTAGTCTACTAAAACACTGGAAACAAACAATCAGCAAGGATTACTTGGACAAAGTACGCAAAAGGCCGATAAATTATAGGATGAGATGCGCAATGTGCAGTGTGTGCAGCCGCACATACTCATATTTACGAATATAAAATGACTAGAGTGTATGGTTTCATAAATGAGCAAAATCTACAGGGCATATGATTTCCGTGATATTTTCGTCGCAGAAAAAGTGCAGGAGAAGTATGATATCAAGTACAAAAGTGCCAGACATTCTTGTACTTTTAGAACATAATTCATTCGGAGTGCATAAATTTTTCTCGCGAAAATTCTGTTTATGATTTTGCTACTTATTTCACTTCTACAATCGTTCTCATATCAGCAGTTTCGTATAACTGCACTAGTTTGGATAAGCAACGGCAAGCCGGCCCAAAAATAGGAGGCTCTTAATTCGTGATCGATCTGTATTATTCTTTTTTCCTTTGTTGTTTCTATAGACATGAGATAGTGATTACGGCCACCACCCTTCTATGAAGATTAAAAGTGGTGCAATCACACCATACCGACTGCTGAGTTATGTCTGTACTGGTACCCTTTGCTCATAGCGTTAGGATCTGATAGCTTGACCTAATCAAAACGCGATTTTTGCTAAAAGTACAAAGACTCCATATTCTTTGACCTACAACATTTCCCGATCACCGACCACTTACTCCAATTAACAACTTAATGCAGGGTGTGCCGCTCTGACGCATGCACGACCTGCCCGAAGCATCAAGTTACCCTGGCCACCTACTGTCAAAAGCGCTCAAGTGCGTCTGTGCTGGATTGAATGACTAACTGTCAAGGTGAGTAGATATGATGGTAAATGTACTACTCCCGTCATCGATCACTCGCGGTCGTAATCCTAGATGTCGGAGCACTATCACCAGGGTCACGATGTAACATATCGCAGAACACAATATGTTTCCGCGAGTCAGCTTCAACTGGAATGCTTCGCTGAGCCATTAGACGACTTGGTATAAGAAAGAAAGCATATTTTACAAGACCAATGAGGAAGTGGCCTTTTTCAACTCTAAATGGCCTTCTCAAGATTAAAAAATTGTAATATGTATTACATCAATGAGAGCACATTGTGCGCAGTCCAAGGGTGTTCTGAACAAATTCCAGAGGATTTCCTGGTGAAAACTCCCACTCAGACAGTTCAGACTTTAAATTTTTCGTAATAGGATACGAGACATGTTGATGAGCTTCAAAATCTCAGATAATATACTGAAACAACAATCTAAGTCTCCGCAATGAAAGATCACTAGATCACCGGATAGATTGGATAATCATAAATGGAAGTGTAGACACAGCAAAAAAAATCATTGTTGCAAATTTGTTGGGAAGAACCCGCAAGCTATAAATTTTCAACAGCTCATTTGCTTTGTTTGATGATCACTTGCTAGGCAAAAACCAGTGTAACTACAAACATGCTGAGTAAAGATGTCGACAAGTTACAAATTTTAACACTTACTTGATCGCCAACCATAGTTTTTTTGTCTAAACCTACATTGAAAAAAAGCAGATCATTCGATTGTATTATTCATGGTTGCATTTTGGAAGATTTGATATTCACTCAAACTAACAAGGGAAGTGTCAGAAGTCGCAGTGGCCTTCTGACATGGGATGGTACCATCTTAAGCAGCTTAAAATGCTGATTCCAAAACAAACTTCCTTAGCTGCAGAACTGATCTGGGTCGCGAGTTATGGGCATTTTAAACATTAAATTTTACATTGTTTGAAGTACTTTGTGATCACGGAAACCTTTCAAATGCTTGTTTAAGCACCAAAGCATGACTTTGATGAAGGCGTAGAATTACGTTAAGCATTGATGGACTGTTTCATCTATGTTTGAGCCCAAAAAATGTTCGCTTTAATTTTTGGCTATTCTCAGCGTTGTAAATTTCCCGCAAATTAAATTCAATAACTCTCGTCCTGGATTAGTTCTGCAGCTAAGAAATGCTGTTTTGGAATCAGCATTTCAAGCTGCTTCAGATGATACCCATTTCATGTCAAAAGGCCACTGCGAGTTCTGACACTTCCCTTGTAAGTTAGAAAGTGCTTTCTTAGTGTCGTAATAACTGGATTTGAAGCGCTAAAAGAACTTAAACTTCTGTATTTCGCTCTGGAGGTCTCCTACAAGGAACATCTGACATCACTTTTGCCTTTTATCGTTTCTTGTCCTAGTGACAGTTATTATTAAGCGTAATTCGGCTACTGTAACAAAGGGCAAAGGCTCACATTCTCTTTATTTTTCAGTCAAACGACAGATAAAGTTTACACAAGAGTAGATTTTCAAGCACACGCATCACTTAGGAAAAGTGTTCGCTAGACAAAAATCCTATCGTATCCGAACTCTTGCAAAAATTGTTTATTACCTCAAAAACTGCAACAAGCGGCAAGATAGTGCCAATTACCACTGGTTGATGTTGCGAGCAAAAAATGGCAAGAAAAGAAGTTCTATAAATCATGATGGTGAGTATTCACTAATTATTTTGAATGACCAAAAAGCATACTGTTTAGCGTGCAATTTCATCGTAGCCATCCGAGAAGGAATGCCAGTCACAAAAAATGTTATAATCCGATTGGCAATTTCAGTTTCACAATTGGATTGGTTACAATTCCTATCTATATCTGCCGCACAAATAATTGACTTGACATTTATCCTCACTACAGTTTTCTAATTCTAAGTGGCGATAAGAGCATTATAGCATACAGCTAACCCGTGAGATTTAAGCCGGGACAAAAAATAGGACAGCAATGTGCTGATAAGTAACAATTGACGCTTCTGTTCTTGAAGAACCGCACTTGTGAGCAAATGTTTTTTTACAGAAGGATAGATAACCTTGAAGGCAGCGTCCACGCAGATGCGGACCTATGCGGATTTTACGTGGAAAGTACCTTTGGGGCCCTAACTAAGGCACTGCCCAAGCGGCAGCGCAGGTAGTGCTCTAACGACTGAGA